AGAGAAAAGAAGTGAGGGTGTGCAAAAAAAAGGAGCTGAAGATGGGATAAGCTTAACCCATAATAAGGGTCCGCCCCATTATAAAATGCGGTCCGCTAACATTAGCTTCATTAGTAACCTACTCCAAGCTTGGTTATGTAGTTAGTATCTAGACTGCCATAACAATTATCTTGTTTATTCATTTTACTGTATACTCTAGATAGCCAATAAAATATACTTTTACTGTATTCTATCACTTTATTTTGCTGTTTTGCTTGCTTTCACTATAGAGCGCGCCTCAACATAATACATTATTCTCTGTGAATAGTTATCGAGAACTGAATTGATCTTCATTGGTTTAGAATGTGATTTCCCTGCAGCGGTTTGAAGACTATCCTTGCTCCCAAGTTACATAGAAATAAATCTTGGCCGGAAATTAAATCCAGTTTGATCTACCTGATGGATCGTGTTTCCTCTGAATCGCTAGCAAATAAGATAAGTCTATCAAACGAACTCTTTAACATCCACACACAAAGTACTACTATATGTGTAAAAACCCTTCTAGGCGCTCTATGTATCGGGACCTGCAGTTCGAACCACCAAGACCTGCCATTGACAAGACTGCATGGCGGAAATGCGGTGTGACATACGGACGCATAAAAGCATGGCACAGGTCGTATTGAGAGCTAAAGTTCGAGAGACACAATCGATCTCTTGTATAAGAAGGGGCGTTTCCCTGCCGGTTTGATCCTCTAGACAATCGTTCTACACCTATATCCGTCTCGCTGACTTGCTTGTTCGCCTACTCATTTCTACACTTGAATTGATTTTGTCTTACAATATGTCGAACCCGTATTATACTTCGAGCTCTGCGAGAAACAACTCGGGCAACACAAATCCATGGGCTTGGACCAACGCGCCTTGGGCCCCGAGCAGTAACGGGAACAGCTTCTCTTGGAGCAATAACTGTGGCAACACGACGTCGAACAATTGTGGAAACACCACCAACACAAACTGCGGAAACACAGTGACCTACAATAATAACGGCACCAAGACCTTTCATACCGGAGACATCACAAGCAACGGCACCGGTGGGAGCGCTACCTCAACAACCACAACTACGGCGGGTCGGAATGATTCATCGACTGTGTCGGGAGGAAATGGGTCGGGAGGATCCATATCTTTGAGCTGAGAGTTTTTGGGGGGATCAGTCGACTGATCGGCCTCTCTGCTGAGGGGATGGGGCGGGAATACGACAGCAGCGCTTGTGCTTAGGGTGGTGCGGCTGAGTTGCTGTTGATTCCCGCAGTGAGACTGGTCCAAAATATGTGATTCTGTAGCCAAATCTGAATATACAATTCCTACTCAGACTTCGGATATTGCCTGTTGTTCATTGGCTGCACGACAGGTCGGCCTGTGAGATAGTGCCTACTAATGTGCCTTATCAGCCAGCTCTGTAAATCATTTCCTAATCATATATAGAGTATACACAAGAGCTGAAGGTACTGCGGGGGTGAATGTGAGAAGGAGGCCATCGCATTGCACATAAATGAGACTGTAGATCACTTGGATTGCATCGGACGTCTATCTCTCCTTTGAGTAATCCGGAAAAGAAATAACGGTTTAAAATTGCCTGGCAACCACCGACAGGTCGGCCTCTGAGACGGTGCCTAGTATGATGCACCTTATTCGCCAGCTCAGCAAATCATTACTGATCACATATACTACACACGAGTCAGGTACTGCTGCGGGGTCGAATCATCTACATAAGCCAAAAAAAAATTGACGGCAGGACGTCGGGATTTCATCGGTCAATTGGATTGTACTTTGCAGTTGATCTTTCTAGCCTGAGATATGGTGATGGTGGGTTGCCATGCGACACATCACCTACAGTAGGGTTAATTTTAGACCCTAATTTCTTTCTTCTTCGGGATTACCGAAAGAGGAAATAGACTCCCAGTGCAGGAGAGCTTTTGTATGCATGATGTATATAAAGTCAGTAATAACAGTGTCACCATGTAGTTTACAGACATGTACCATGTCTATGCAATGTGAAGTCCTTCTTAGGCATCTGCACTCTAACATGTCACACGGGTCAGACTGTTATTGGTGTTTACGCCACCCTCCAACTGCACGTCAGAGACTACTGGAGAGGCATTTCAGGCCGAAATCCAGCCTTAGATGGGGCGCAGATCGCAGATACCGACACGGTGGCTATGGAAAGAGTAAGTATAGTATGTACGTTCTTGGAGGATATGTTGAGCTCCGATAGTAGTTTAGGATAGGGTAGGTAAGGCAATGGAACCATTCTTGGCTATAAAAGCTTACTCTCTCCCCAGCTATGTCCGTGTAATGAAGAAGCAACCCTACCTCAAAGAAAGCAATCGCAACACAACACATCTCACTCATTTCTTCTCTAGATCTGAACCGAGACTCACGGACGCCATTCAACGCTACCTCAGCCAAAATGGGGAAGTACGACGAAGCCAATGAGATCGAATTCAACTGCGTCATCAAAGGCGGCAAGTGCAGATTCCCTATCTAGTTACTCAAGTTCAAATAATAATGGCCCAACAGCCGACGATACCGACAGACACGTTAAGGTGGAGCAAGAGGATGACATGACACTCCGACAGTTGCAGGCCTATATACAGACCACTCAAAAACTCATGGGAGAACTGACTCTTTACTACGGCAACAAAAAGCTCACCAACCTGTTCGTCCCCATTGGAGAGGTTCTGCGACCCGGAGACACTCTGGTCATCCAAAACAACACCAAGGCGATCGTCGCCACTGGCGGCTTTGGTATGGGAGGCGAGGCGACTTCCAACAGCAGAAAGCAGGCCATCGCCCAGGGGGGCCACGCCACCGGCGGCATGTTCTACCCGTCGGGGAGATCCAAGGGAGGCAGTGGAACTGGAGGAGATGCCTGGGGGGATTATGGGGCGGGCGGGGATGGCTTTGGGGGAGGTGCGAACAACGTAGATGGAAAAGCGAGGGCGGGCCTAGCGGTATCGGGCAATTTTCATAAACATGAGGAGAGCCGATCGATGAAGGAGAGGCTCTTTAGGCGTTAGATAGGGCAAGATTTAAGATTTAGTCAAACTCAATTGAGGCTTGGCTTCTATTTAGCCAGTGTAGCCTTTCCTCCCCTTGCATTTCCTCCCCGAGCATTCTTTCCACACGCTGAACCTCCCTCAGCGCCCCCTGCAATGGCGTGGTGGTATCCTTTGGCACTTCCACCGAATCCGTGGCCCCCGAGAGACTCTTCCAGGCTGACCGAAGCCTCCGTAATCTTGCCACCCGTGCTATCCCCGTAGTCTGCGTAGCCTCCGTCTCCAGATCCCGCATTGGCCTCGTAGGCCGAGGGGTCTGGGCCTGGCAAATCACCAGGAACTATATCTATGGAAGAGTTAATTACACATCAGCGTCCACCGCACGGGCATCTCTGGGGGCAAAACATACTCGGTTTTTCGACTGAGATGATTTCAACCAACGCAGCCCATACCTCTCCGTACCGTACATCGTCGTCTCCGCGGAATTTGCAAATCGTACGGTGGTCGGATCCTTGTAGCATCGTTGCAACCTCACTTAGCTGATTCATTTGCGCAGAATATGGCTGAACCACCTGAATGGCGAGTCAGCTACCAGTGGTTTCATCTGACCGGGGGAGGGCGTCTCACAAGTAAACCGTTCAGCCGCCGGTCTTCGTAAAATGTCCTAATCTTCAAGTCTTTGGACGTTTGAACAAAGTCCTCACTGATTTCCTGGCAGGCCGGAGAGTCTTTACGAAGGTCCTCTACGTAACTGGACCTCTTGAGGGGACCCAGAAGCCTGGACCCCCAGCCTGCCACGGATGCTAGACCCGCGCCATGGTGCGGTACGCCTAGGAAGAGGCATCCTCGTACGCTGCTGGAAAGATGCTCATACCGCTTATTGTGAATGGAAGAGGCGATGTTCAATGCCTATGTAGGAGCCGGCATCCAAGTCAGAATATCCATACAGGCCTTTCGTGGATTAATGGGGATTCGGGGGGATTGAAACAAGGAGAGAATACCTTCTTTACAACCAGGCCTCCCAAACTATGAGCGATGAAAACTATACCGATGGATTTGTGCTTCATTTCGTTCAATTTCACGTACAGTCCTTCCAACAAGACCTTTGCCACTTGTCTGATATTCTCGGTCGACTCGGTGGACATCAATTTCGCGGCATACGAAAATGATAGGACTCGTGATTTGATGCCCTTTTCTCGTTGGAGCCTCGGCTCGATCGACGATCGAACCCAGTTCCATCCGTTCGTCTCACACTCCCATGTTTTGAGATAGTCCCCGCCAAGTCCATGTACAGCAACGATGCTTCGACTCTATTAGCCTGATCGGGATGGAGTGGAAATCGAGTGTTTCTCGCAAACCTACACAGTCTCTGCCTCCTTATCTCCACTCATATCATAAAGTCCAGGTGACGACATCTTGCAAATCCCGTCGATTCTCCGGCTAGCTTGTGAGTATGGGCTTGATCAGCGACGCGGCTGAGTTTAAAACGAGAGACATTTTCAAGAGAGAAATTCATCAACCCCGCGAGGTACATAGCATCGGGCAGCCTTGCGTTGAGGTCGACATTTCCGTCGTTGAAAAAAGATACACTTGATCGGAGTCCCCGAGCCAATGATCCCCCGCAGAATACCTTGTCCAACCGGAATATCGCCATGAACAAGGCGCAATATGACCCCCTCCTCCTGAAGCAGACGCTGCGTAAGATTGCATATGAGAAGCATATTTGCTTTTTTTTTCTCTTTTTTCTCTTCTTTTTCTGCACCTACGCTAGGTACGAGGTGCAGATAACGTAGATTAGATGTTGATCAAGCGAGGTATTTTTTTTCCCTCCTACCAAACATGCCTACGATAGCTGGAACCGATAATGGCCCCGAAGCAACATAAATACTCCTTCTTTCCCTGCCTTTACAGAGGCTCTTAAATTCAGACCAACTATCTACTGCTACGCGAACAATCTTAGCTACCATGGCCGCTCCCAACCGCAGACCCATCTACGACACTTCTGGCACCGGTGGTAATGCTGATGCACATTATGGACGCTGGAGAGGAAGCGACGGCCAAACTGTCACTGGCGGTAACGGCACCGGTGGTAACATTCAGATGCCGGCATGCTGTGCGGATGCCAACATCAAGATGACAGGTATAGGGGGCAATGCCAGAGCGAATGCCGGGGGCGCCGCAAGAGGCGGCGATGCAAGGGGTGGCAATCTCACGATTACTTGATTTGTTTTGAAGATGACCGCAGGTAATAGGATATTGTCTGTCTGTCCCTTGGGAGACGCTTATATTAATGACATATAGGGCTATCTCATTTCCACTATTTGAGCCGAACTTCTTGCTTTGTCGCGGCACAAGAGTACACAGGATCATGGGTTTGATTCTATAATCATGTAGGGACAGTGCGCGAGGGAAAAAGTATCGAGATGCTGCGACAATCTCCTTTATTCGAGTAGCATGAAATAAGAAAACCGAAACATTACCTTTGCGCCACTCTGCCTACACAGTACCTGCCTTATTATCTCTACTCTACCGTAAAGTCCAGCTGACGACATTATGAAAATCTGGTCGGTTATTATACCTGTGCCTAAAGATAGGCTTGGTCAGAGATATGACTAAGGCTAAGATGAGACAAATTCACAGCTTCATGCGGGTGTCATCAAGCCCCGCTATATTCTTCGCAATATGTCACATCTCATGCGTCGGGCAGCCTTGCGTTCGGGGACGACTTCCCCCCATTGAAAAGAGATACACGCGGGCAGTTTTCCTAAGTTGATGATATCCCATGAATACCTTGACTCTATGGTAATCTATCTCTGAGCCATGAAGCACCCTGCGGGGCCATGATTGGGATGTAAGACAAAAAGAAAGAAAGGATTTCTCTACCAAAGAAACGTGTTCATGGTTGGATGTAATTGCGCTCTCAATGATATGCGTCAGATGCAACACGCCGCCGCCAGTGCGAGGCAGCCAGCTAGTGCACGCTAGGTAGCTCCGTCACACGCAGTGCAGGATACCCCACTTGATACAGTTGAGTTGGCACGACCTTTAGCCTCTGAATCAAATCCCTAGGAGTGACGGGTGTCTAAATGGGGTATTCCGCGTCCGCCTCTTTAAACCGAATACAATGCAAAAAGCTATTCTTACATGCTATTTGCTATTCATGACACCTTGTGTGGAGAATATCCACGCTTATTTGCGCCAGTACGTATGCATGATCAACAAGTCACTCCTGCATGGCGCTAGATAGGCTAGATACCCACGGGTATTGCCCTCGGGGAATACCCTCAGGGTACAGAGTAGTATTAACAGTGAGTAAGTCTGTACTACGGCCAGAAAGTTTCCTGAGAGGTTGTCTCCATGTCGCCTTTGGGCTTCCCGGAATTCAAGAGCTATCAATTCCAACTGTTGGCGTAGACGCGTTTAATTCACCCATGTAAAATAGTTAGTTATACCCTTGTTTTCATTTACTTTGTAGAGTCTCATTACTTTGTCCATGATGGCGGGCACGTCAGCTGTTAAGTCGGTTTACAGTAAACGCTTCCGCTGGTTCTAGGGTCTATAAGACTGCGATGACTGAAAACATACAATGAATGTTGATGGCGCTAGTGCTTGCTCCAGGGTAAGCTAAAGCGCCAGTCTTCAACCCTCAATCACCGCAAAGACACCTTCTATAAGCCATTTGATCGATGAAAATAGAGATGGCACGCTTAATTACTAAACTGATATTGCTCAAGAGTGTACAAGATAAGAGGTGACGCCTTTGACAAAAGACTTTCGTCGCTGGTACTTTGGGCTTAGTTGTATTACTGGAGCCGCTGAAGCCCTGAAGTCGGGATTGACTGTCGGCCTACAGATGTTAGTTTTGAGATTTTAGGGTGGTGGCATGAAGGCGCTAGTGTTTCGGGCATTCCAAGACGTCAGCGGACAAAATCGCCCCAGCTAGAGCGGCTGATTGTTTTGTTCTTCGCTCGAGTCTAAAGTTCTAACCTAGAATTTCCAGGAAGTCCGAGTAATATTCCGAGCCAATCAGCAGGGTTAGAATGAAGAACACTCGCCTAAACTGCTCTAGCATTGAGTGGTTTACTTATAGAGCTTCGTGGTTCATTGCTTTGCTTTCTCTCTACTGGATCAGTGTACAGAGTGTAGATAGCTACTACCCTCTGCCGCAAATGTGAGTAGGGGTTGACCCACAGGTCTGTGCAATATTGCTTGGGACGAATAAAGGGGCTCTGCCTCCATCAACCCTAATTCCATTGGAGGCTCCTACAAGTTAGATTGTGTTTGATATGTGCGATATGGATACAAAAGAAAGGACCAAATACCCCTGGCTACATCCACTGATCTATCTCGAGAGGCTCTGTGTCGTCCTCGCTGTTTGTAATATCGGCTTCAATTTAGCCGGCGTTAACGGCAGCCTTAAGGGCCTCGCTGTATCCATCAGTGAAAAGCCATACCTTCATTATGCGCGGCTGGGGGGTTTTGTCGTTCCTAGAACTTCCGTGAAGGACTTCAAACAACCTTGGTACCACTGGGACTGTTCCGAACAATCTAAGATTTGGAATCCATCAATGCAGCAGGCCAAGGTCGGTGGTCCCAAGGGAATAAAGTCCGTCAAGAAAACGATTGCGTCGGGCAGCGAGTTAGGATCCGTAGTAAGGCGACGAATTCGAGCGGGCGAGAAATCCGGCAAATCTTCAGAATCATAGACAGACCATAGATTATCTGGAATGAAAGCTAACATTTGAGGTGTCAACGAGTATACCATCTTCAATAGCTCTTCTGGACCGGAGAATGTGTTGTACTGTCTCGAGTCATATTCACAGAAAAATGAAATGATAGGGACGTGAAGCCTTCGGAATGTTTCGACAATGCGCGCTGTTATCAGTATGCTTGGAGTATATTAAGAAGAGACTTATAGTTGTCAATTTATGATCTAGCTAGTTTACTGAATCATCACCTTATCCTCCCTACATCTGTACACGTACTTGCCTCTAATTTGTATTTTTGCTGTGCGCACAATTGCCTCAAACCTCTGAAGTAAAATTATCAATGATTGTAATGAGTTATCACTATCATCCCCACACATTAGAATAGATCTTCGATCATCTTCTTCTACGTCCCTTTTAGCTCTTTCATTAGAACAGTGATCTATCCTGATATGAATAGTAAAGTATCCGGTTACGGAATTCATTAAACAGCCTTCTTTTCTCACTCTCTTCCTTAAGCTCCTACCTGATATATTTATTAAGGCTTTTACCTGTCAGGCCTAGTACTACTATATGACAATAGACTAATCATCATAACTACCTATTCTAATATCCTCGAAGCAACCCACATAAGAGTATCATTTTTGAACACAGATTTTACACTACCAGCCTCTCTCAATCAACCCTTTTTACCCTTTCAATTACCGCAAATTTCACAATCTCGCAACAAGTACAGCCATAGTGGAAAGATTTACCGCAAGAGCTATGGATACCAGCTTATCTTAATACCCGCGTTCTGGCATCTCGCACGGACCATTCCCGTCTAATGTCTAACTACTCCCTAGCTCTCTGCAGTCTGCAACTCCAGCCGGAGTATTTGCACACAGCTTGAGCTTAATGGACAGGCAATCAGTGCTCATAAAAAGCAATCCCGTCCTAATGACAACGGCGCCTCGGTTTATCGGCTAGCTGCGCGCGCTACCATTCTGCAGGACTGCAGTTCTGCCCTCGGGCCCATTGCCGTTCGGACGCCCGACGGCCTCCCGCGAGACCTTGAGACATGGCGGGACCATCCACCGTATCACAGCCATCCAGCAAGACCGAGTGGAGGTGTTCAGGGCTCTGTTCATCACAATATCGGCTGATTAATGCCTCTTATCACTAGCGAATGCCGAAGCTTAGCCTGGTACCCCATCGAGATATCGTCACCGACAATCGTTATCATCACACTACAGGCCCGCAGTTTCCGCCTGTATTCCCGCATTAGGAAATGAGCATCGCATTCATCTTCCCACGAGGCCTCTTCCGAGGACAGCCGCTCCAACTTCCTTGCGATCACGCTTGTTTCTCCTCTCGCATAGCTGTCGCGAGCTTCTTATTGGTACCTTCGTGATCCCTCGTTGCATCCTATTCGTGCAACGCCCCGCAAGAGATGTTTCTGCAAGGTCCCATCACCTTGTTGCGTTGCCTATGCCCCGCCCTCCAGTTTCCGACAAGCTACTTTGTACCAGTGGTTGCGAATCCTGAATCTGTGAGCGTGCTCCGACAATCAGATGGTTTCCTACGTAGGCATTGTCGTCTTAGCGTCGCTGCACTACATCATCGTTAGGCAGCATGGAACTGGCACCCGCATATAAATGCCCCGGCACCCCCATCGACAGGCTCGGTGTTCGTGCACGCCTGTCCCCTGGCCCGTCCCCCAAAGACCTTTCAGTATGCTGTTTCGCAGTCTGCTGTCGACGGCTGTTCTAGCCGTTTCGTTGTGCACGGATAATGCTTTCGCTGCTAAGCATGGTCGATTTGGCCAAAAAGCTCGCGACGCCATGAACATCGGGAAGCGTTCCGCTAACGCTGTGAAACACTCTTTGAAGATTCCCGTCGAGGACTATCAGTTCCTGAATAACAAGACTAAGCGTATGTATCTCAGTTTGACAATGGACGACAGCTGGCTTACTTTTGTCGTTTAGCTTACCGCGTGGAAAGCCTGCCTGATGTTCACTTCGATCTGGGCGAGATGTACTCCGGCTTGGTCCCTATTGAGAAGGGCAACCTGTCACGGTCCCTTTTCTTCGTCTTTCAGCCCACTATTGGCGAGCCTGTGGATGAGATCACCATCTGGCTGAATGGTGGCCCTGGTTGCAGTTCCCTTGAAGCCTTCCTTCAGGAGAATGGTAGATTCGTGTGGCAGCCCGGAACCTACCAGCCTGTAGAGAACCCATACTCGTGGGTGAACCTCACTAACGTTCTGTGGTAAGTTTGTGATATCATTGTATTGCTGGTTGAGTTTGTATGAGGAGCGTCGACCTAATTTGTTTTTATAGGGTTGACCAACCCGTGGGAACGGGATTCTCTCTGGGTGTCCCAACCGCCACGTCCGAGGAGGAGATTGCTGAAGACTTTGTGAAGTTTTTCAAGAACTGGCAACAGATCTTTGGGATCAAGAACTTCAAAATATATGTTACTGGAGAAAGTTATGCGGGCCGCTATGTTCCTTACATCTCCGCGGCCTTCCTGGATCAGAACGATACAGAACACTTCAACCTGAAAGGTGAGTTATCATCTACCTGCCTAAACTTCCAATTCGAGCCCTCGACTGACCATACTACCCAGGTGCACTGGCCTATGATCCCTGCATTGGTCAATTCGACTACGTGCAGGAGGAAGCACCAGTTGTCCCCTTTGTCCAGAAGAACAACGCTCTCTTCAACTTCAACGCAAGCTTCCTAGCAGAGCTAGAAACCCTCCACGAGCAATGCGGATACAAAGATTTCATCGACCAGTATCTAGTCTTCCCCGCATCCGGAGTCCAACCGCCGAAGGCTATGAACTGGAGCGATCCGACCTGCGATGTATACGACATCGTCAACGACGCCGTCCTGGACCCCAACCCCTGCTTCAACCCCTACGGAATCAACGAAATGTGCCCCCTCCTCTGGGACGTTCTCGGCTTCCCCACCGAACTCGACTACCTCCCCGCAGGCGCCACCATCTACTTCGACCGCGCAGACGTCAAGCGTGCCATGCACGCCCCTAACATCACCTGGTCCGAGTGCTCCATGGAGAGCGTCTTCGTCGGAGGTGATGGCGGGCCCGAGCAGGAGGGTGATTTCTCAGCCAACCCTATCGAACACGTCTTGCCGCAGGTCATCGAAGGCACTAACCGGGTTTTGATCGGTAACGGTGACTATGACATGGTGATTCTCACCAATGGAACTCTTCTCTCGATCCAGAACATGACGTGGAATGGAAAGCTTGGGTTTGATACTGCCCCGAGTACCCCTATCAACATCGACATCCCGGACCTCATGTACAATGAAGTATTTGTTGAGAACGGCTATGACCCGCAAGGTGGTCAGGGCGTTATGGGCATCCAGCACTATGAGCGTGGTCTTATGTGGGCTGAGACCTTCCAGAGTGGTCACATGCAGCCTCAGTTTCAGCCGAGAGTGTCCTACCGTCACCTTGAGTGGCTGCTTGGACGGCGGGATACCCTGTAAGGCCGGGTAGGATATGAAGGGGGGATGATGTTGTGATGATAGTAGAGACTTTAAGTTATGATCTGTAGATACGTTGCGCGAATGTACATGAGCAGCTTTAACTGGCATTTACATAAGCAAAAATAGCAGTAGAGTACCGACCTACTTATGCTTTCAACTAGAAGATTGGAAAAGGATAGGGTCTGAAAACACTATGTACCCAAACGATGCGGAATCTACACACTTCTTTCTATTCATGATATTACTTGACAACTGCCTCGAGGTAATCCTGAAGCTGCAGTCCAGTCATACATCGTACTCAATGTGCCTTGCCCTAGAAACGAGACTTGACACAGATGATCTGAAGATGATTCATTGTCAGAAGGAGTGAGTGGTACGTGTCACACAGCATCTCCCACTAATGCCGTAGCACAGGAAGGGGACATGAGTAGTATATCAGATGCACCTTTATGCCAATAATGTTTGTATGTGTGTATGTAAATAAGCAATTGGCACTAAAGCTAGCTAGAAGAGAAGCTATTTACAGTCAAGATAGTAGTAAGTATGATGGCCAAACAAACAGAAAAGCCGCAGAGTCTCTCTAAGTAGTCTAGACCGTGCGCCTTTGTTGCGAAGAGAAATACCCCGTTCCACGAAATGCTTCCTGCAAGGAGAGGAACGGACGCCTTGATGGAACCGGCTCTCTTGAGTCGAATGAAAGATGAAGGGGGAAAAAGGTCAAATACAGCAAGGGATGTGGGTGCCCTGCTCAATAGATGGGGTATGCAAAAATAGAATAATCGACAGGGATGATGCGATGCGTGAAGAAATTGCTCGTCTCCATCTCTGTCTGGGTGGTGGTGGGATAAGGTCGCACTGCGTTGTGCTTTTTGCTTCGCAAGCGCTGCATGTCTGGAATCTGATCCCGACATGACTCTGTGGTGTGTGTGTGTGTGTGTGTGTGTGTGTAACAGGTTCCCTCTCTTAAGACCTCTCCTTCTCCTACTTCAGACATCGTCATGTTATTTCTAGACAACCAACGTGTGTGTATCAGATTCAGCTTCAGTCATAATCTCATTCATCATTTCATCAATCAATTCTTCCTGGTCGGGGGCCGTCATAAGCAGCAGTGTGTTTGTGTTTGTTTGTGTACAGGAAAAAAGGGTTCTGCGGCTGGAGACATCGACCTTGACCTCGATCTCGGAATGTCGGGCCTTGTTTGTTTCTCCTGGGATTGCATTTACATGGATGTGTGTATGTGTCTTGCGGATGGGAGGAGGGAGCTTCATGATCTGAGTCTTCGTATTGGTATTAGTCTTTGAAAAGGTTAGGATATATGCAATCATTTACCTCTGAAACTACGTGAAAATCCGTACACTTGAATCGGCGCTCCCTGTTGCAATGACGCATTGAAACCCAGGCTTGACAGAGTCCGTCTTGGAACTTTTAGTCGATTCAGAAGTCTCCACTGGAACATCGCTCACAGGTACTGGGCCCCAACGAATGCAACTAACAAAATGCCCGTGGGCGTTGATCGTCTTCACCAATCTTCCCCCTTGAGACAGATCCCAGCAACGTATTGTTTTGTCGTCCGCAACACTGATTAAGTACTTTCCGCCAGGATGGAACAATAGGCCTCGTACCCAGTTGTCGTGTCCAACTAAAGTCTTGATCAGGCGGCCCCGGGATTCCCAGAGCTTGATCGTCTTGTCACGGGCTCCCGTCGCAATAAATTCGGAGGAGCTACTTGCAGGTGGTGCTGTCTTTAGTCCCGCAATAGCAGCCAAGTGCTTATAGCTTGAGGGAGGCGCAAAGACGCAGCACTCGATGAAATTCTCGTGACCTATTAATGACGCAACCGATTTGGCTGATGCGACTTCCCAAACCATCGCGGCTTGATCACGGCCTCCCGTCACCAACCACTTTCCATCGAAGGAAGGAGACACGTCGTTGATCCAGGAGCCCTGCGAGTCGATCACCTTAACACAGTATCCGGTCGACACATCCCATATCCGTATCGTTGCATCCCGACTGGCCGAGATAAGGATGTTATCTGTCTGTCGCAAAAAGCGCACAGCCGAAACTGAATGGTCGTGTCCAGAAAGTGTCCGAACATTGGCATAATCCTTATTCGGATCCCACAGTTTGATCTGGAGATCACTCGAACACGATGCTAGTATTGTATGTCCCTTCTGACCGCCAAAATCGAGATCGGAGACCGGCCTCATGTGGCCCTTGAGTGTCCGCTCTAGTTCGCCGAGTTCCCAATCCCATATTTTGATTGTGCAGTCCTCGGATCCGGAGGCGAGAGAGGTGAAGACAGGATGGAATGCGACGCAAGTGACAGCATCTCGGTGCGATTCGAATGTATGTCGGGAAGAAGTGGGAAGCCAGTTTATCGGATCTTTCCCGGTGGAGCGGGCTGTAGGTGATATAGTGTCAAGCTCGGTTTGGAGGCCAGCGAGTTTAGATTCTAAGTCCAAGATCTACACAGTGATTAGTTACCGAGCTCCTCCAGCGACGATGAAAGAAGAACAACTCCAAGCGACCAACCCTGTCAAACACATGCACCTACCTTTTTCTGCAGCCGAGCAATTCCGGTCCATTTCTTCTCTAATAGCCCCTCGTATTTCCGGCACAGCGCATCGTCGAAACTACTGTCCACTTGGAGTTCCTCCCGCAGCACTTCACAACTCCGCGAGGCATTTATTGATGAAAGGTATGCGATAATCGACTTATGCCTGGGTTGCGTATAAGCGCGCAAGCAAGGTACGGCAGGCCATGGCATAAATATACTCACAGTTCCTCAGCTTGGCTGGAGGTCAAGATCTTGGTCATGGTGGTGGTGTATGAACTGTGAGAACCGACACGAGCGACTCTGGTGCCGGACGAGGACCTGAAAGATTGCCAGAGAGACAGAGAAATTCAAAATAAGTGATATCTACCCCCCACATTGGCATGTGGCGCAGTACATAGCCAGGAGGTGATCAGAGTTATGATGCGGAGTATTGTTTTGGCATATTGGCCTTAAAGGGAGCGCGCACCAAAGGCTCAGGCGCGCACTGCGCAGCCCCTCGATGCTCGGTCGCCGATCACGTGTCGCTGGCCGCCGGGGCTATCCATTCTCCGGTTCCGAAGGCCATTCATTACCTCCTCTATCTGTGGCGGTGTCAAAGAGTATCTATCTCCCCAACTACAACACCAGTCGGCTAGAGGGAGCGTTTACCCAGAAGTTGGAGCTGGCCAAAACGACTGCGGACATGCCATCCTTTGTGACAAAATGAGATAATGTACTCTCATGCTCCAAGACCCGGCTAGTGTTCGACTGACGTCAACTAATTCTCCTTTAAGTCCAGAAGCTCATGGCTCTGCGGAGAACGCGCAGCTGCTCGGGGTCATTGTTCTAATCAGTACCTGATTGCTCCAAGTCCGCTAAACTCGTGACAGAACACTAGTCTTCAAAGAAATGGCTCACGGGAGTCCCAACGTTTTGCGTCCGAGTGAAGAAGCGGAGGGGATAAGTCCACGAACAACCATTCGAAGAGCACGTCCTCGCTCGTCTCCTTCCGGATTGCGTTGGAAGTGGCGCCGAGAGATTTCGATATGAAGCTGGATAATATGTCCCGATAGAGAAAAACTGTCCCGACACCGTCTCCGCATTTTGATAGTCTTTCCATAAGCTACTGATACATGAGATTTCTACGAACTGGATCTTCATTAGCGACTCAACTCGTCTGCAGTCCGCTTAGTTTGGAAACTTTCCCGTCTAGTTTTGTCGAACGCAGTGCTCAAGCCATCGTCTGTCGCCGCCGCGTGTGTTGGAGATACATTCATAAGCCGGAGATGGAGGGAAATGAGGGGTTCGATCTCGGCGGCTATCTGTTTAGTGGATATCCTGGTGCAGTCGATATGATTTCATGGTCCAGCCCAGCCATGAAGTGAGGCAACCAGGACTGAAGCATAAGCATGAACTTGGCCTACGGCCTCTCTCTAGTCCTCCAGCTTATGGCGCGAGCGTACCACCGGCGTACCTTCCCGCGGAAAACAAGATGGCCCGAAAACTGACCATGACCAAAAGGGCAATAGTGAGCGGACTTTGACGGCAGAGAAATCGCTTGTAAGTGGACAGCCGTAGGTTGTATTTTACGACATGCTGGTCTTGGCCCCCATTTAGCAGGTCACCCTTTTGTTGAGAGGGAACTGCCTGTGGTTGGCCCGGTAGGTAAATTAGGGAGCCATTTGCATGACTACAAGTACGTACTTAGTAGTATTACAACCACTCTGCCTCTGAGCCAAAGCCATTGGTGGCCCGTGGCCCCATTAGGGATGCCCGTCTGTAGGAAATTAGGACTTGCTTGCTGGGTGATGATTGGACGACCAGGGAAACGGGTACTATCTGAGAAACGGTTGCGGAAGTGGTGACGGACCAGTGTAACGATGATCCCTGCTGGGATTGGACTGGCGACCTCAGGCTCAGGCCTCTGCCGTGCCATTCCCGTCTGGGAAAGGCCGGTCGTCTTGGGACTCTAACCCTACTTCATCATGGTGTCTCGTGTCGGCGACTCCTAGTACGTTCCTACATGCATGCTGGACGGGTAAGTTTTCAGGTGCGGCTGCGCTCGTGGCTTACGGTTACCATCTTCAGGGTGCAGATCGGATGTAAGATACTCGTGTCTGTTGAACATGAACTTCAGGCCTCTATCCTTATGGTACGATGAAGTCCACCAGTCCCTAGTAGTTTCGAATTAGGGAGACCAGGAAGGCGGATTCTCACATACCAAATCAGGTTTCAACTGCGCCAACGGAGTGCCTTCAGGTTAGTGGCCATGGCATCCTAAATTGTAAGATCTCTTTGCCCGGTACCGATGTTGTCAGGTAACTTTGACTAGTCCCAGTTGGTATTAGCGCCATACAGAACTATGGCGATGACGTAGAAGAATATCGGGCAAATCTGGCACGTGGACCGAGTCGTTTGTGCTCATGTGAGGATATTCTAGTGCCGGAAAGACTTGTTCTATTGTGTACACACAGTCCTGAGCCGTTCGAAGGACATGTTTACTGATGACGCCGAGTTAAGCTTCTTCGGATGGCATCATTACCCCAAATGCTGACCATGCGCCTCGGCCGGCACCATGGAGAGCCTCCCTTGCGTTGGGATGAACCAACGCACGTTGCGGAGATGAATGCCAGCCGAGCTGTCTTATTGCTCGGAAGATCTGGCACCTCCCGAGGAATCCTCGATTCTAGCATCCAGTCAACGTTGCTGGCAACCGCCGAGAAGTGGGTTAAGGTAAAAGTGGCTTTCCTAGTGCACCCTTTCCCGGTGGTGAAGAGAAAAAAATGTGCTGTGCAGCATTTATTGCATACCAAGAAGTCAGAGCTATGGGTTTGCCGCTTCAAAACATCCTTTTTCCCGCTCTTCTTTGTGGCAACCGAGTACTCCTATCTCTATGAGTTCTTCGAAAGATAAGCCCTACATATTCCCTATCATATCATCTCTTTTGGTAAGACGTTGCTCCAATCGTCAAGTCGATTGTCGCCGGGGTATCGCTGCAGTCTGCATCTGCCAAGGGCCATGGCGTCCGCCGTCAATGCCAAGACGCCCTACCAAGGTATAGACAGTCCAATCAGCATTGTTGAGATTGGACTTCGGTTTCGGCCGGTGTGGTTCCATCGCCCCGCGCTAGCCTGAGTCCGGCCAAAGTATGGGGCGCCATACGGCATCAGTACGCGTATCACGGTATTTGCATCCTGAGAGTCATGCGAAAGCCTATCTACGCCCCTCCGAAATAATTTTATGCCAGCGTTTCGATATACTCGGAGGAGGGGTGAAGAGAAAATATGCATTGATCTTACAGCTGCCAAGGTATTGAACAAAGTTTTGCCGACCAGTTGCATTACATCTCTTCTAGGAGACTAAGTCGTGGGCACTTGCCACTTCCCGGCGTTTGCAAAAAGCACTAATTTATTTTACAGGGACGGACCCATACCACCCCATGTATCGTAGTAGCAGACAGAAAAAGTAAAAAAGAAAAATAGGAAAGAGGGAAGAAACAGTGATTTGCGATGGGAATTTCTGCGATGCAGTCTTTTTTTCCTTTTTCATGTTAGCTTTCAGTCCAAAGCTGGATGCGTATATAGACCTCAGCTTCCCTCTCCTCATCCCCCAAATCTTGGTTCTTTCCTGTGCTTACCCTCACTCTTCTCTACCACCTCATATACTACCCACCCCCTCCCCGCATCTCTTTCCCCCCTCTACCGTTGCATTTCTTAAAAGAGTCGGCTTGAAGACGACAGCGAGTGCAGTCGATTGATCCTCTACTCCGTGCGCCATCTCATCGCTCTGGGAAGAAGGTTCGATCCATTCGACCTGTCAGTCGGAACCATCACTGTTCCTTGCCCTCTTATACCTCTTCATTCTCCGTCCCTGTCGTCTATAGGTCGACTGAGCTGCAGTTCTCAGCGTCCCTAGCTTTTTACCCCTGGCATTACTTTATATACCATTGACTCCTTTTGGATATATTTCAAACCTGCTCCAGCAAAGGCGAAAACCGTCTGCTCGATTTCAGCTGTACGACGTGCGCTCAATAGCCTCGACATAAGACCCACGAGTATCCGGCCACTGAAATCCCTGAGCACCTTTTATTCGGCCCCCGAGTATCGGTTCCTGTTCAGCCTGTCCCTAGCACCAACCTGTCACGGTTATACAGCCATTGCGCCTACTGTATCTGACCCTAGCGACAATTGCGAAGCCATCGGTGGCCCCTAGCTTTCTGAGCATCCCGGATATCGATAGAGAAATACCCTTGCAGACCATAGCGACAAGTAGTTCGACTCACGTTGAAGCCCGCCAAAGCAGACCATCGATCCTATTCCCCCAATTTGCCCCCGGTGCCACAGCCCATATCGAAAGTTGCCCTCGCATGCGACATCGTCACTAAAGTCCAACAACCATGCCTTTCGGAGTCAACCCTTTCCGGAAAAATGACCACGACTTCCCTGGGGTCGTGGTCCCCCTGTCCGAAGCCCCTCCGCATCACAAGCCGAACCCTGAACTAGAAAAAACCGACCGCCCTGATGAGAAGACTGACAATAGGAGCTTGGATAGGGCTCCCTCCTCGGAAGCCGGCGTAGGGTCTGTCCACAATTACAACACCCTGACCATCGAGGCCCTTCGCGCTGAAGTTGAGGCGGATGTTGCGACATCAGGCAAAGACACTGCGTATGACCGTATGTTCTGATGTTGCCCCATGGGGCGGCTACTGTCCTTTTTCCCTGCTCTGCTTCCTTGCTTTCTTGAAACTTCCAAAGAATGATTAGCCTCGTGCCTGGGCACCTTCGAAAGTCCGAGATCTGATTGTGATTTTCTATATAGGCAAGGCAAAACTCATCAATAGAGCCATCCAGGATATTGGCATGGGCCGTTACCAGTGGCAACTTTTTGCGCTCTGTGGTTTTGGTTGGCTAGCAGACAAGTAAGTGGTTCCCTCGTGCGCATTACTTACACATCAGCTAACGTTGGTCTACTCCAGTCTCTGGTTGCAGGTGAGATAGATACATTTGATTTCGGCGAAGGTATCGTCTTTGGTGGCTGTTTTACTAACCGCTAAAAGGGTGTTGCATTGACACTAACCCCGATTGCCTCGGAGTTTGGGGTTTCTACCACATGGGTCCGATTCACAACATGCTCCTTGTTCTTGGGTCTTTGCATTGGTGCATCGTTCTGGGGTATCGCGTCCGACATCATCGGCCGTCGCCCGGCTTTCAATATGACCCTATTCATTTGCGGTGTCTTTGGCATCGCCGCCGGTGGTGCCCCAACTTGGATCGGGTGCGTCCCCTTGGTAGTCTGCGAAGTCGACGCTTGCTAATGTCTCGTGCTAGAGCCTGTGCCCTGTATGCTTGTTTGGGTCTTGGTGTAGGCGGTAACCTGCCTGTCGACGGGGCTCTATTTTTGGAATTCCTGCCTTTTGCTTCGGGAAATCTTCTGACAATGCTGAGTGTCTGGTGGCCTCTCGGCCAATTAATCTCCAGGTATGTCATCCTCATCTAGCGTCTTGAGTCTGTGGTTAACAAGTAATCAATTAGTCTACTCGCATGGGCGTTTATTCCGAACTACAGCTGCAGCAGCGATCTGCCTGCTTGTGGTAACGTTGCTAGCGGAGAGGCGTGCTGCACTAAGCAAAGCAACATGGGGTGGCGCTACTTGTGCTTCACGCTGGGTGCCCTTACTTTCGTCATGTTCATTTGCCGCTTCTTCCTCTTCCATCTATACGAGTCGCCCAAGTATTTGCTTGCACGCGGCCGTCAGAGCGATGCTGTTGCTTCCGTTCACGGCATTGCCCACAAGAACCGAACCAAGACGTGGCTGACTGAGGAAATTCTTAACGAAATTGGTGGTTATCCTGAGGAGGTGGCAGACGAAAAGCTCAGCTTTGCTGAAATTGTGCGGAGGAATCTGTCCAAATTTTCCTTGGAGCGCATTGGACCCCTCTTTTCCTCCAAAAAGCTTGGTTTCTCCAGTATGTGTTCAACACAACACTCCATTTTCCTGAACCTAGGCTAACTAGTCAACTTTTCAGCCGTTCTCCTCTGGTTCTGCTGGGCCACGATTGGAATGGGATATCCCTTGTTCAATGCCTTCCTCCCCCAGTACCTCGAGCGTGCAGGTGGCTCCAGCTCCAGCTCTACTTACATTGCCTACCGGAACTATGCCATCACTTCGATTGTCGGTGTCCCTGGATCGATCCTGGCCTGCTACACTGTTGAGATCAAGTATGTTGGCCGTAAGGGTACGATGGTTATCTCCACCTTGATTACCGGAGTGCTGCTCTTCTGCTTCACGGCCTCGACCAACTCCAACATCCAACTGCTTTGCTCCTGCCTCGAGGCTTTCTTCCAGAACATCATGTACGGCGTCTTGTACGCCTACACTCCCGAGGTCTTCCCGGCTCCGAACCGTGGCACAGCCACTGGCATTTCCAGCTGCCTTAACCGCATTGCGGGACTGTGCGCGCCTCTCGTGGCCATCTACGGCGGAAGTTCCAACCCAGATGCTCCTATCTACGCATCTGGTGGATTGATCCTGGCCGCATTCGTGGCCATGTGTCTTCTCCCTATTGAAACCCGGGGAAAGCAGACGCTGTAAATGATAACAAAACAAAAGAGGAAAAAGGGAGGCACATATTTATATACTCTTTTCATTATTATCTTCACCATCACGGCTGGTTATGTTTATACGCTCATGTCTCAACTTCTTGGGTAAGCGAGCATATTGGAATGATGCATGATACCCATGTTTTGAATGGCTTGCATGGACGACGGGATTGCACATAGTGCCTGGTGGATATATGTATACATGCCCGCTCGATTGATTAGTTCCGTCTACTGACTTGTTCGGTTGTACTTACTCTTCGTGTGTTGATATACTTATGTTGTATGACGTGGATGCATGACGTTTTTCTTTTGGTTAGCCGTATATAGGATCAAAAGAGACAAAAAAAAAGGAGTACGATAGCATAGGAAGTGAAATAAAAATGCATATGAATTTCATTATTAACCACATATTTATAGTAATCTTGTATTCCTTCCAATCAACCATAAGGAACACTCTTACACAGTATAGCCATCCTCATTCAGCGTAGCACACACTTCAAGCAGTGATCAATAGTACTAAGTATACTACTAATCTTCGTCCCCGACCACTCCTCTCCACTCACTCTCATCATCACACTCATTCCTCATACAAACTATATACTACATACGATATCCATAGACAACATATCAACTAGATAAACTAAATGTCCTTTCCCTCTCCCCAATCGGTAATACAAGTCCTGAGTAAGGGACTAGATAGATAGATAGATAGATAGATAGATAGACAGATACTTGCTAGTTAGTTCAGACTGGAGGTAAGAAATATCCACGCTACATAGATAAGAGTCTTGCTTATATAGATGGTAGGTATGGATGGGGGATATATACCAGATGAGTGGGTGGGTTACAAGAGTGGTGATATTAAATGGGGGGGATATGTAATTTCTTTTTAAAATCTTTTCTCTTTAGACAAAAGGGTGATACTGCATACTGTATGAAAATAAGTTGTATTATCTAGGGCATAGGCAGTCAAGTCTGTATGGATATACATACAGACACCTTGGTTCTTCGGGGTCTTCCAAGGCAGTATGCACTACTATACTTCTGTAAAAGAGCTACGCGGAATGCACCAATCAGGCTCAAGGCATAATTCTACAGACATGAACTATGATCATGTTCATCCGTTTCGGCCATCTAGAGATACTAACATAGATCGACCAGGATTCGCTTTTAGTTACGAAAGAAAGAGAGCAAAACGTACATACGCCGGACTACCCCGAGAAGAAAAAGGAAGCAGTTGCAGTGATATCCATAGATATAGCCCACCACGCATCGTGAAAAATCCATGCCACGAATGTGCTCCTTTCGCAAATGTGTATGTATGTGCATCTGAAGCATCAAAGCATGTAAATGTATAGCCCCGGAGGAAAATGGCACGCGCGTAATGACATTCATCGAACAAAACAGCCCAGCAACAATCAGTACAAATGTGAGAAGAAAAGGGACCATACCATATGCTGTGCCCAGAACCCGAATTCAGCTAAAACATGAGTAGAAAAAAAAATTACCAGCCATGAAAGGAAGAGGTGAAAGAAGAAGAAAATAGCAACGATAAAAAGAAACACCCAGAATAAATGCGACCGATCGAGTTCGTGTGTAGCCACCCGGGATCCTGTCCAACTTTCGAATAAGGGGAAGGGGGAATAAGGGTTAGGTCATCAGATCAAGAAACTCATAAGCAAGGGGAGTTCGTAGCCTGTGGCTCTCGAGTTGTCAAGTAGTGTTGTGGATCTTGGGAGATGGAGAGAGAGAGTTTGGGAAAGGGAGAGGCTTAAGCAACCTGGCCCTGTTGTCGTCGACCTCTCTTTTCTAATAAGGTGGCGTTGTCGAGACTCAGCTCGAAGGGCTCCCGCGCACCCCGCGCAATGCTCTGCTTCGCAGCGGCTGCCACCTTGGCGCTGTGCTGGCCGTATCCTTGCTGCTGTCGGGGCTGGTGCGCTTGGCGCGCTTGCGCGGCGTGGCTGGGCGCGCCCAGGTTCGTCGATCGAAGTTTTGCCTCCATGGCCGCTACGTCACTGGCTTGCTGGGAGGCTTTGGGAATCTTAGCCGGAGGGAAATCTTCCCGAGGAAGAGGTTGGTAGGTGATCTCTTCAGCCTCGTCGTAGTCTTCGTTCAACGGATTAAGCGCAGACTGGAATGCTGTAGACGGGTTCGCACCACGATACCCTTGGCGGAAGTTCTTGCGCCGCTTGCCTTCTTCTTCCTGCCGGTGAACGGCATAACCCACGTCGAAGACCTCGCGCAAGTTGATCGCACCAGGAGAGCGGAAGTCCATGGGACGCTCGAGGCCGGCAGAAGCTGGGTCCAAGAGACGGGCGCTGGCCGGGGCATAGGGCGCTTGATCGGCCGCGAAGGCGTCCAGTTGTTGTGTCTTGCGGGTGGTTAGCGGGGTTGCCAGAGGCGGAGCATCTGCAGCTGCTTCGGTTGCTTCGTCGGTCTGACGAATCCACGGATGCTCCAAAAATTGCTTGATCGTGTACCGCTTCTCCGGGTCGACCGTCAACAGATGGGAGATCAAATCCTGCGCCGACTTGGAGATATCGTCCCACCACGGCGACAAGAAAGTATATTGGCCACGCGCGACCTTCTCGGTGAGAACTTGGATGCTCTCGTCATAGAAAGGCGGGAAGCCACAGAGGAGGGTGTAGAGAACGCAGCCCAGAGCCCACATATCAACACTCTTCGAGTATCTCTCATCCTTGACAATCTCGGGCGCGGTGTAGCCGACAGTTCCACAGGGCGTCATAGTTTGGCTGTCCCAGATGACCTTGGACAGACCAAAATCGGCGATCTTAATCACACCAATGCCGCCGGCGCCTTTTCCGGGAATGAATTCGCCTTCATCGACCTTGTCCTCGTCCCCAGGTTGACGAGGTTTGGGGTTTTTGCTCGGGATGAAGTCGATGGGGTAGAAGAGAAGATTTTCGGGTTTAATGTCACTGTCGCAAAAGTCAGCAAAGCCAGGGGGCGGACAAGAGCACGTAGGAGGTTAGGCCTTACCGATGCACGACACCGGATGTCTCATGAAGATACTCAATGGCCTTGGCAACTTGAAGAATGACGTGGCGACTAAGGTCTTCGCTGAAGTAGGTCAATCGCACGATCTGATGGAACAACTCGCCACCAGGGCAGAGTTCCAGCACGATGTAGTAATATTGGCGCGACTCGGAAAACTGGACCAGTTTGACGATATTCGGGTGATCTAGCTGGCGCATAATCTGGACTTCTTTCAGGATATTGGCACGCTAAGAAAGAAATGAGTCATTAGCACGAGCAAACACTTTTGGGGTCATTGGTAGCAAAGGGAGGCGAAAAGAAGACATTGCAAGGGCAGGGTATCAGGCGACCCATGCGACTTGGATGGGTGACTCATGATAGATCATCCCAGAGGGATTGCGCACCTCTGTAGCTTTGGGTTTCTTCTTCAACCCGGGATGTAGATGGGCGGATGACTATTGACAAGAGATTGGCGAAATGACTCAGAAAGAGAAAAAGAGAGATGTAAAGAGGAAACAAGGCAAACCAGCAAATCAGAAAACACAGAGAGCAGCATAAAGAGGAATAACCAGAATGCGCATATAAACCATGACACAACCAAGGGAAACGAGTGTGTGGTTGCAGTTCCTACCTGATTACTATTCATTTCAAACTTCCGGACGACTTTGATGGCCACGTCGCCATATTCGCCGGTGCTATCCCTGGCGCGATAGACGTTACTGAAAGCGCCATCGCCCATCTTCTCGACGAGGGTATAACGTTCGAGGCCGGGGTATCGGGGCATTTTGTTGCGACTGCTCTTTTCCTCTGCGATAATCTGCTCGAGTTCGGCCTCGCGCGCGCGGCGGGTCTGGTCGGAATTCTTCTGGGACGGCTGAGCCTGGCCGTTGCCCATTCTGCTGTCAATGGCATCCAGGTTGCCAGCAGCGGGAGGGTAGGAGCCCTGGGGTTGACGTTGTTGTTCGGCATGAATGGGAGAGACATTGGTGGTGGGTTCGGCATGCGGCGTCACCAGGCGGGCTTGTTTGCCATGACGTATGAAATTCTTGAGACTTTGTATGGTACTCATAGTGTGTGTGCTGAGTAAGGGGGGGGAGGGAGGGAGGGAAGGGGAAGTGGGGGATTACAATGGAAGAAAAGGGAAAGAAAGGGACAGGGAATGAGGAAAAAGGAAAGTGAAGAGAAGTAAGTAGTAGGGGGGGAGGAAAAAGGGAGGGAAGAAAGAGGCCAGACAGTAGGTAGTAGTAGGAAATAGTAGGAGTCAGGCAAGGTCAGTAGGACGAGGAAGAAGAAATGAAAGCCAGATGATGAAATGTGATTGGGAAGGAACCAAGATTCTCTGTGTCTCTGTTTTTTTCGTTTTTGTCCTTTTTTGGGTTAAACTGTGTCTAATTTAGCTGCTGGTGCTTTTTTACCCCGCCAAGGCCTAAACTGTAATTGTCCGTTAGTGTCAGTTGGGAAATACAGTCACTTAAGGAAAGATGTGCGTGAGTAATGACAGAATAACTTCAAAAAGACAAGACGATGACGTTTCGGGAAGATGATCGATCGGGATTTGTCAAACTAAATTACAAGGTGGCAGGACCGAACAAAGAAAATGGACACACACAAGAAGGGGTGGGAGGAGCAAAGAGGAGAGGGGAGGGTATTTTTGGGATGAGTATTTTATTACCTGTGAGTGAGATCACTGCAGCTTGCTGCACAGTCAAAAAAGACACCCCAGTAAAGAACCACAGTCGAAATTTCTGGATGAAAGGATTGGAGAATGGACGGGACACCAGTCACAAGATAATCGTCGTAGAGTATATTAATTTTAATTTAATCTTCTTTCCCTTTCTCTTTCAGCTGAAATGGAGACGGAGAGAAAGCGAGAGGACGGGATGGTGGGGAAATGCTGGCCGATGGGCAGATCGATGGATGGATGATGGATGGATGAGGGCAGCTGGACAGACTGCAGGCAGCACAACGTGAGGGAGCACCGTGGCAGGAAATCAGAAAAAAAATATGGCGGACGAAGACGGATGAGAGGCTATTAAGATTATAATTTCAAGAACACATGCCGATGCATGAGGAAGTGTAAGATCAAATAAAATAAAATAAATCTAAATCAAAAAAAGAAAAGAGGAGGGGAATCGAATGAACGGCATGGAGCGTCATCGGCCAGCGGAGGTGGAATTGCAAGCAGCCATGACGTCGAAGGGGATCTTCGCCTAGACTGACTTGCCGGTTCAGGTTAGTCTGGTTCCTTCCGTGGGTGATGACTCAGCCAGTCTCGCGTGCCGATTGTCTCTCTCTGTGTCAGTTAGTCTTTCTTTCTGGCATCATCGCCTTTTCGCCTTCTTCATCATCTATCATTGCTCCCACTAACTAACCCCATACTTAATCTCTCCCTCATCTCGTTTCATTACTCTCGAATTTCTCTTCCTTTTGGTGGCTGCTCACTGACCATCTCACACTGCGTCATATCCCGTCATGGCTTCTTCATATCCTCCCCCATGACTGATTTCAAATCGGAAATGACATTAGTACGTAGTAGATTAGATTAACGCGAGATACAAGCTCTGTCCTGATTATTCAACAAAGATCTGGGTCTAGCCCTTTATTCCGGTTCGAGTTATCGTCAGACTCTTCTTCTCACTGGTCGTCATGTCATCATATGCGCAGTTTAATCCCTCGTTTGGGGGGGGCATCCCGTGCCTACTTAAGTGGCTGCTCTGCTCGCCTACCCATTCCGCTTCTCAGCAAAAGTCGGATCCGATTCAGCGCCGGCAAACAACAATCGCGGGTCCTCTGGCTAGTTACTGTGTTCCCGGTCTGGGGGATGGTTCAGCAGTGGTCGACCATGGATTACACACGCCACTCCCGAGATTTCTGCCAAACGTTGCAGGGGGACTCATGTCATCGATGATGCAATTCCTTGTTCAGCGCGATCAGGAACCTACAGTAACCGGCGGTGTCAATATATACTTGGTGGAAGTTACTTAACCGTGTCGACACCGCAACGTCTGGTGTACTGTGTAGCAATAACCTTGATGCCTCGGGTACTTCCCGGTCCTATATGGCATTGTAGTAACCCCGTCTTATAGTAGTGTGAGCCTATAGCATTTCGGAGCATCCCGTGACAACTGCAGGGCGAGTCACTGGATCGTCGCCGATTCTCCGAACAAATCAATCCCTCCATCCATTCCCCCTCATCATCTCTCTCCCACTTCCATTCGGTCGCGCTTCTCCAGACCATCAATTAGCCAGCCCTGCCATACTTGGGCCTCATCCTTCCCCCTCTGCTTTCCTCCATGTAGTTTGCCAAGCCGACCCACGACTTTAATCGCGGTCATTATCCCGGATTGACCTGGGGCGGTCCGCTGAGTGCACCGCGCGCTGGATCCGCAACGTGGAATGTCTTTGCGACTCATCTGTCTTGCCTCGTCGTCGCGCTCCTCGGACCTTTTCTGTGCCAACGGGGTTTCCTCCTGCGTGTCACGCCTTGCCTGGTCCCAATTCTTAACTATATTCTCTATTTTTGGAATCGTCGATGCCCCTGGAGGAGCATAATCGCTGCTGACCGGAAGAATTGGCATCAGTCTGGTTTGTAAGACGCGCTGGGGTGGGCATTAATTCGTTAGTTTACCGTGTTCCTCCCCTTGCGCTGTCCATCCACTTCCCTCCCTTGCTGGCCGCCGCTCAGTCGCTTTTACAACAAACTTTGTCCCAGGGTTGGCAGGAAAGAAAAAAGAAAAGAAAAGATAAAGATCCAGTGAATGTGTCCAAGGTAGCCGTTGTCCAAAACGGTCACCTCTTTTGGGGGTTTCTTATCCATTGTAGTAAACGTTATCTGCTTGTTTGAAACTCAACCTCACACTTCGAACTGCCGCGGTGAGCAGGCGATGCGACGTCGTCAGCTATTAGCTGGGACCAATCTCCATTGAAACAACTCAAGTGTCATGATTCTCCTGCCAATCACCCTCTGTGATCGCTTGTGACAAATATCAGTCCGGATTGCCGCGACCGTCGGGTCCGCCAATTGGGCATCCCAGACAGTTGGGCCATCTCACCATGCCCGGCCTGGAAGTCGTGAACACGTCTCTCGCCTCACCAGGACACCTGGACCCGCCCCAGTTGAGGGCCCACAAGTCTCTACGACGAAGGCCAAATGTCCTCTGGAGCCCTCCAGCCATCGAGGCAACGCCTCAACCTCAGCATGGCCGCCCTTCAAATGCCACCCCGTTGGCAGCCGCTCCCGTCCGTCCTCTAACGCCGCCTGGAGTTGCTCAGAGCGAAGACCTCATGAGCAGCGGAACAAGCACGCCAAAAGCTACTTCATCCTACTCCGTGAACGGGGCGGTGACCTCCAAGCCGTCCCATCCACCCACGCCTGAAACTACTCCCCCGCGTGTCGCTCCTTCCGCCCCGCGTCCGGGACTGTCGCACTTTGGACTGTCTTCTTCCTCCTCATCGCACGCCGAGTCGTTTCGGACAGCCTATGAAATGATCTCGGACGCAGAGACGGAAACTCCTCGTCAGTCTACGCAGTCGTTGTTGCCTACCAGACAGAGGTCGTTGAGGGACGAGCCGGCGGACTATGATGACCGAGGGAGTGGAGAGTCGACACCGGTTCCTGATCCTCGTACTCAACGCCTCCGACCGTCCGTGATGGAGACCCATGTGCAACGAAAGATGGACGATGATGCAGAATTGAAGGTGTCGCCGCCGCGCAGGAAGAAGTCTACGAGGAATGGGGTTCCCAAGGTCCGTACTGCGGACGCAGAACATGGTTACGAGATGAATGGTTGGGAGGCACAGAACAAAGTTCCCCCGGCACGCTCGAATCTACGGGAGTCTGTCCGGGATGCGCAGGAACCAGTGGGTGGCTTGTCCATTGAACAGTTTCGCGAAGAGATTGGCTGGCCACGTGCGGAGGACCAGCCTCACTCTGCGGAGCACGACGACGCTCGCCGGCTGTCAGACGTGTCCATGTCTTCGTCCACTGTCGAGGTAATGATCATCGACGCTCCAAGGTCCACTCGAAGATCCCTGCGTCATACCGATAAAAGAGGCTCGCTGCGTTCGGCTAGTTCGCCTTTCCCCAGCCCAGAACATGGATCAACCGCTTCCAGCGCGGACTCGCAACATCGCCTAGTACACAAAGCTGGTCGGATCACCGAGAGCGACCGCAAGAGCATCGCGTCGGAAATCTCGTTCTCTGGAGCCTCCAGCGTCAACACCCAGCAGCAAACCGTGGATGTGGTGCCGGTGGTTGTGATCCCGGAACGAACCTCCTCTCTCAAGTCGTCCACTTCGACCAGCAGAAATACCTCGCAAAGCCGCTCGCGCCACTCCAGTCGACAAGGCCCGTCCGCATCGGGTAGCCGGCCTGGCTCTCGCGAGCCTCCTCGTCAGAAGCGCACGTCCGACACGACTGCGAGCAGCTCGAGGCGGGCGGAATCTCGTGGTCGCCACTCTGGCCGACCGAGTATCCCGGCCCGCAGCTCCTCGCTCTCTGCACCAACCAGTCGAAATAACTCGCGGACTACGTCTTTGACATCAGAGAGCCTGCGGGACCATGCAATGACTACGGAACATGGAACTCATGATCGTGTTGCTGAGCAGCCACGTCTAGCTAAAGCAGAGACCGCAACCCGCGAGACACATGATGCTGTGGAAGCATCCAAGACGCAGTCCATCATCATCGGAGTGGAGGATATGTCGCATCTGCGCCCACCATCAATGCCGTACACACAAATTTCAATCCCTTCATCTTCGCCCGGCCTGATCGAAGTCTCTGAGGCCAGGACCGTCGTCTTCTTCCCGCACAACAATGAATCACTGCTCCTGGTCGACCCGCAGGCTCAGTCTACACAACGAGGGCAACCCGACTACCCTGAACTGTACCAACACCGAACGGAAGAATCTCCCACTCAACGCTACGAGATGACATCCCCTCTCAAAAACCCCCGCCAGCCGCCAAAGCCGCCCATCTGCCAGGTCGTGCCCCCGACGCCCGTGCCAGACGGCGACCGTCAGCCGGGCGGGGCAGGTTACACCAACGAGCCAAGTAAGCTCCGGGGCCGTCGGTTTGGCCCGGGCCGCCGTCCGTGGCTGGTACGTCCTCGGTCTGACTCTTTCAATTCATTCGTCCGCTCATTGTCACTGACGTCGGTGAAGAACCGCAAGGCCGGCAAGGACATCGATGGGCGACAGCAGCCTTTCTGGCGGCCTCGTCGGTTCTGGGAGGACTCGGAACCAGAGGAGGAGTCGCCTCGCGAGGCTCCTCAGTCGCCCGCTGCAAACCCCGAGGCGTCGGACTTAGTGATCAAGAACTCGTTAGGCATGCCACAGCAGCGCGTTGTGTTTGAGGGTCCTGCGCTTCGCAGCCCGGGTACCAGACGGCGGCCCGAACAAGCCAGTCGACACCTCGCCAACCGCAGCACGCTCGTAGGAAGCCAAGTCTTCAGCCCCGAGGCGTTCTGCTCACAGACATCGCTCCACCACCAGCGGTTCCGATCCCTGTCTTGGTGGCGGCTTCGCTTCCGAACGAATAAGGTCCGCAACATCCGCAAACGCGTGCGACGCACATGGCAGCGGCACGCGGAGCACCGTCGAGAAGCCAAACGCGAGAAACTCAAGCAGAGTATCAGCGGGGCAGTCCTGATGGAGTCGAGCACGCAGCTGAAAATACCAGAATGATCTATCAGCAGAGTTTTGAATGACTGTGATGTCTCTCTTTATCGTTATTTAGAATGTGCTATATGCTATGCTATGATTGATGGCGTCAACGACGATATGATGATGAATTTTGCATATGTTTGGAATTAGTCATGCATTTTGTACTGTCAGCTATTGTTATGTTTTGGATTGTTTTGCTCTTGATTTGAGAACTGGATGGTCCCAGTCCATTCATGATGATGAAGATACCATACCACACCTTACTTACTGATGATTTATGCAACTACATACACGATGCCACCGATCTTACCTACCTAAATCAATAAGGAATATCATACATATCATATAACTAGATCCACAGTAATAATTACCCACAACTCCATACACAATAGTAAACCGATCCACAACGAAAACATAAGAAAAAGAATGTGAGAGAGAGAAATATTAGTCATTTAAGTCTTCCCCGAACAGCCATCCCCCCATACTCCGCCTCCCTCGCCCTCCTCCGTCGTCTCTCTTCCTCTTTCTCCCTCTCATTTAACTGCATGACACTCCCACTCCTACTTCCACTTCCAGCCTCATCACCTAACCTCGAAGAAGAGGAATTGCGAATCCTCTCCCAACACCCCGGATCAAGAAACGGCTGCGGCGGGAGAGAGAAATTGAACTCTGTTGTTGTAGTAGCTCTCGCTCCCTTATCCTTATCCTTATCCGTAGATTTGGATTTAGAGTCTTGTTCTGTAGATGAAGATGAGGATGGCGATATGAAATGCAGGGTTGGTGTGTATTTCTCTGTAGAATAATTCTTGGATATATTTGTGGATGGGGTTTTGAGTGGACGTTTCTTAGGAATGAGGAGGGATTTTGTAGGGCGGGTGGTTGTGTATTCTGTCATTGTTGATATAGTATTATCTCTTGTAGGAGTGAATAAGTTATGAGTATGAATTATAGATATAGTATATAGTTTGAAGGTAGTGGGATAGAAGATATTATGGATAAATACATAGAGGATATCTGATGAAGTAACGGAGTAGTTAAGATGTTGGAATACGCCAGCCACGTGATATCTATCTATCCATGGTTTTAAGAACTTGGTAAGCTAGACTTAGATTTGAGACTAAGATAACCGTAACTATAACCGTATCATTATCTACTTACACTAGACCTTAGATTAATAGATAATATGGTACCTCCAAACTATATCTCACTTTCACAAATCTTATCTTTTTGAGTAGGAAATCACGTAGATACATCTATTGATTGCACTATATGCATCGCATCCACCTATCGATACATGGTATCATCTGAATGAAAGAAAACAAAACAAGATCCAACCCTAGCATATCGAATAAAGCTAGCAAAACAAAGCAAAGCAAATCGCCAACTCCTCGCTCCAGTCCGACTCCATAACGTAAGGGTTGTCGGAGGTGTGTGTGTGGGGGGTGTGCGTGTGTCGGACATCAATCCAATCATCTCGCTGGTATAATAATATGGTACATCAATCAATCAATCGATCAACAATAAACATCAAAAAGTCGTCAAATATATGTAAAAGTAGTGTAGGAAAGTTATGTGCCATGTCAGTCGTCGAACAAACAGAATTATTCTGCTCATGCAATACCCTGAGACTCGATCCCCGATATCGTCGAGTATGAATACGGCAAATCGACCAGTCCGTCCAGAAGCCAGTTCAGCGGATCGAATACTTCGTAGTTAGGTTCCATGAATCCGCTGGGAAGGGCACCCACAGCGCTTGGTGCGGATACGCCCATGTTAGCCTGGGGGAGCATGGGGGCTGGCGCGAGGCTGGGGTCTGCGGCGCCGGCGACTCCGGGTGTCGCGGTCGAGGTGCGCGTCGGTTGAATAGATGACGAGTTGGAGGATTCGGCGTTGGAGTCTGGATTGGTTGGGTTTTTGAGATAAGCTGCAGTTATTGTCAGTCTCCGATACATACGTCGATGTGTTGGCATCCGTGCATACCTTCGAGATTACGCCCCTTGGTCCGCGCGTCTTCCCGCCACCGCCAGACTGAGTCAAAAAGCAAGGACATGCTCATTCGGCAGCGCACCTTGAGCATCAGCGAATCGTCGACCTCTCCGCCGTCTGCCGTCAGTTTCGGTGTGGGCACGTTGTTCAGCCGCCACATCTGCGCTACTACTTCCGCCAGTCGCTCCGGCAGGTCGTTGCTGGAAACGGACACGCGTCTAATCGCCCAGATCGTCCGGTTGAAGAGGTTCTTTGCGTAATCCATGTCGATGTGCGCGGCGAAGAAACTCTTGCATAGCTTCAGCAGAGTACATCCGCCCGCAACCATCATCTGATACACGTAGTACGGGGTGTACGACAGCACCGGGCCGACTTCTGTTTCAAGGTTCATCGCTGCTTCGAGGAACGTCGTGGTAGCAACATAAAGCGAGAGAAGACGCTCTCTATAATCCTTTGCGGTTGTGTCGTCGAAGAACGCAGACAGATGGAGGTGCAGATTCGATGCGCGCAAATAGAGATTGGTGATACCTGAAAAGGTTAGACCGTCTTTATAATACCATAATGTCTAAGAAAGAACGTACTGTCATTGTGCGCCTTCAGCTGATTCTCCAGTTCATCGAAATCCCGCGACAGGAACGAGATCAGTGTTGATCGCTCCTGATCGCTGCAAAGTCCGACGGGGTCCCGCCGGTTGGTGTATAAAGATTTGGTGACCTTGTCGCAAAACTTTTCAATCTCGAGCCTTGACCTAATGTCGTCGGGCAACCTGAAGTTGGGGTCCATCGAATCATTTGAAGACAGTGTCCAGTCGTACACACTAGACGGAGGCTGGCCATAACCAGTAGCAACCCTACATCGCGGTCAGTAAAGGATCGAAATCGATAACGATGAAACCACATACCGTTGGGCGACAATGTTGCAGACTGCCCACGTCCGCACCTTGTCTCGAAGTTCATCTTCAATGAGCTCCACGCGGAATTTGCTAAAGTCCTGCGTGTGCGATGGACGGTGTAGCCCCAGCTGCATTGCCACTTGAATCATCATACCGCAGAGCATAAAGGTCGGATCGGTGGACGTGCTGCTGGTAGGGAAAGGCCAGGTACAGAGCAAGCAGAGAGCCTTCACGACGTGGTAGCTTTGTGGGATGTCCGCCAGCGTACTCCACACCAGTCGCGAAACCGGGCCTGAGAGGGAATTGAGAAGGTGGGTGTCGGCTTGGAAGCGCCGCGCGCCTACGCTGATGATGGTCCAGAACAGCAGTGGCGATGCGCTGTAGTAATCATCAGGCGACTGTTCTCGATCAAGGAACGGTAGAAACGGATGGTAGAAGGTGAAAAACCTAACAGCATTAGCATTGACCTGTGAACAATACAGTCTGGTCAGGCCTTACAGATGAAACAGCTCTGTCACCCTCTCCGGAACGACCGCGACATCTTCAATGCGCTTGAAGTGATGATTGCCGTTCCTCATAAAGTTCGTGCCATCAAAGCCAGAGCGCAAATCCAGAAGCGACGCAACAGCTTCATGAGAACCCATATACTGATCCGTAGACATGGCCGACGGCGTATGGTAGACTCCCGAGCCAACCTGACTGGCCGTTTCTTGCTTGGGAGTCTGAACCGGTGGCAAAGACGCCGACTGTGACGGAGGTATAGCTCCAGCCTGCACAGTAGCAATCTGCTTTCTCAGCTCGATGATCTCGCGTTCCATCTCGGCGTTGCGACTGCGTTTCCCAACCCGTTTGAAGTTGGATTCGATTTTACAGTCGAGCTTTAGACGACGACATCGAGAGCAATCCGTCCAAGGGTCTTGAATTACATCACATCGGAGCTGTATGAAATGAAAGAAGGTTAACATCAATCCAGATAAGCCACATGTCTCGGAGGGAAAGAAACCCTAAGTGGCGTGAGCTTACCTTTTGTTGACGACATTCATTACAGGCCCGTTTCACGGGCTGTCTCTTCTTCTCCTCCTGGTTGTCCTGCCCGTCGATATCATCAATACTGCCCGGGGAGCTGTCCAACCCCGCCATGGTGGTGGTGCGCTTCCTGGCTGGACCCGCAGCATCAGACCCAACAGCAGGGGAGACAGATGGATGGCTGGCACCTCCCATTACGGGACTGGGGGCAGCAGAAGCATTCTCTCCTGCGAGTGGCTCCAGGATGGCACCCTGCAGGCCCCTGCCTCCGATTCCGCTGGGCGATCGTTCGGAAGACTCCAGGCTGATAGTAGGGAAGGTAGTAAGAGGGCCGAAATAGGATGTGGTATTATAACACCAAATAAGAAAAAGAAAAGAATATTCGGGGGTCTGCCGGGGAAATTGGCTGGGCACGAGCCTTTTGCCCACGTGAGGGAAAAAGAACTTCGGAGAGAGAGTCGGAGAAGTGTGAAACAAATAAACACCGAAATGGGTGAAGTTATGTCAAGGCGCGCTGTTTGTGCGTGCAGATCCTTTCGAGGAGGAGACGAATGGAGGGATCCAGACCCTTTCTTACTGAGATTGGGATGGAATCAATGCAGCGCGGGGGAAACGGACTGCGAGCGAGGAGAAGCTGTCCGATCTCGCTCTCACGTGGTCTCGCCCGAAAAAAAAAAGCACGTGATGATAGCAGGGGCGCAACGGTGGCGCCTTAGTCACCACGGGCCATCGGAGGATCCGCCCCACCTGAACCCTTTTTGTTAGGTAATCCCGAGTCCCTGTTTTCAACCCTAACTATACGCCTGTCCTTGACGTTGATATTGTATAGCAGGAACAGTGAAAATACTTGCTCACTTTCATTCGAAAAGGAGAAGTTGAAAGGAACGATGGCATGGCTATCAATTGTCTCCAGAATGCTCATACACTAGAATAATCTAATTGGCCCCACACCTTGGCCCTATCACCATAGCAGCCTATCCGACGCCAGCCGGAAGCTCGGACGTCCGTCGGACCAGGAACTAGGCCGGATAACTGGTATGAATTCGACCACTCATGTCCCACCTAATTATCCCAACATCATGTCCATTGTTTCACCACTTCTTATGGAGGAGTTGGTGGTTTGGAAACAACGGACATGCTTGCGTGTGCTTTCTACGCTGCCGTCGTTGTTCATTCTTTTCATATCCGATGCTTGTATGGGCTTGAGGCTATTCCTCGGCTGTGTTAGTGCTTACTGCTTAGTTCAACGGTAGAGCTGGTTCACTGCTCATGTTTGCGTGATGATTGATCATATTAGGTTGGTGGGAAGTGAAGCAATCTGTCTGCTTTCCGAGGCCCCGTTGAACAGATATGAAACCTCATAAGTACCCAGTGCAGGCCTAATAACACTATAACTATCAGACCAATGATCAACAAGATCTGTCCAAGTGTCTTAACTTCAGTCGCTATAGCTCCACAAGATAATGATAACGGCATTCTGTACACACACGCACATATACACCATCACTGGTTGTACGTCACCACCGAATCAGGGCAGTTCAGTAGAAAAGTCTGCTTCGCGTCGATCTTTGAATGATCGCAACAAGCCTAGCATAACTCTGATGAACTCCTTGCGCTCCTCGCGGTCATAGATATCGTACTCCCCGGTCCGCTGCACCTTGATCCTCCCTGATCGCTTTTTCTTGTCTTGGAAACGGGCAACTTCCTGCTGGGTCATGATACCTTTCACGAACCGAAATCTCCAACCTCGCACGCTGATGATATATGCAGGATATTCCTCGTGATCACTTTCGAACTCGAATGCCATGTTGGCTTGGAATAGAAGTCCCGGGATCTCAGACTGGGAGATGCCACCTCGTCCGAGGTCTAATTTGCACTGCAGGTTGTTTAGCTCCAGGTACCGGCTCACGAGGAGGACTAATCTCACCGTGCAAATAGCGAGGGGAACGCCAATTGCTTGACCACCAGAGATATTGAGAGTTCCTTTTCCAATGTAGTGTCGGAAATAAAGTCCCTGGTGCGTTCCCAAGTCTTCGCGTGCCAACGGAAAATAGCAATGCTGGCGAAATTCACTGGGTAGGGGAACATAATCAGCTTCCTCATGGCTCTACAGTATTCGGAAAGTCAAAAGGTGACACACATTTCTCCTTGGCTGGGCACGTGCTCAAAAAGCGAGGCCATATAGTCAAATAGGATATTTGTTGTTTTATCACCATAGCTGTCGTCATGAACGTCCCTGAAAAAGGGAGCGAACCTGGCTTTCTTTGGATCTACTAGTTTTTCTAACTCAGACCAGTCCGAGATCTCGCGCGCATCTTCGACTGCAGGATCTTGCCATAGATCCACCAGCCTCTGATATTCTATAATCACCGCGCAACCTCAATCAGTGCTCTGTCTTGCCACCGCAGCAGAGTTTACTTACCAGTATCATCATCTGATGGCAGATATTTGGATTCAAATATCTTATCCACCGGCACATCTTCATCTACCTCAACATTGGCAACAAACGAGCGACCGGGCCTGCGAGATCCGGTCCGCTGGTAATAGAAATGTGTGTCAGAGAGAGACTCCCCAGGTATGAGATCCTTCTCGCTCTCAGTGGAGCGATGATTATCAGGATTGTTGGCGGCACCTTCTGCTGAGGCTTCCTCGGGCTGTTGAGCTGATTCTTCTTGGGCGTCTCTGATGAATTTGAGGTGGATCTTGGCTTTAAACCAATTCGTCGTTGATGGCCCTGGCGAGGCTTCTTGATTACCTTTTCGTTTACCTTTCCGTGGCTTCCCTGCTTCTCCACCTGTTTCTGGTTTTTTCACCCGGGGAGTCTTGCGTTGTTTTCTCAAGAACTTATCCAGGCCTCCAAAGACATCTTTTTCGACGGGATTCCTTCCTCGAAGTTTGTAGCGTGGGTGTGGGTCGGGCATGGTGCCTACTGGGTAAGTCTGCCAAATTCAATGATAGTGAGGATAATAGCGCAAAAATAATGTATGCAGGTAGAAGCCATATGCCGGCATATTTAGGATGTCGAGAACAAAGACATTGAGACGAGCAAAACCAGCATAGTTCCTGGAATCGTTGCACGGTTAGGGAAAGAAGATGAGCACAAAGGGGGTCAGTCAACCACGGGACGGAAACTCTTCTTTGACCGTGCGTGGAAGGAGAGACGCAGAAAGGCAACAACCTCCTTTTGGACTAATCTAGCTTTGTGGTATTTATAGAAACCATGATGGGTCGTGGTTCCAATTCTGCTGTCTTTTGGTAGTGTTTTATGAAAAGCCTTTTCACTATTAGTAGAGGACTCAAGCTTCATAGGATTGGGTGCCTTCCCTGGTTGCATTGATGTGGTATCACTGCTCTGGAATAACTGGTTAGACCTAGGTCTAAGAGTCACCGAGATAAAAGGCAGTCATAACCCTTGCCTTAAAGAAAATAAATTTGGATAAAAGAAAATACAAAGAAAGATATAAATGCTTCTTGCCCGCGATCTAGACAGAAAGTAAAAGCTGCGCAAGGTCATGAAGATGTGGTTTAGAAGATTATTATGCACAGCTCTACAAAGCTATATATGTCCACTCGGGTATATGAGCTAAGAAACAACAAGAAAATTCCAGAGCCGAGAGCCTAAACAGTCTAACCCCCATATCCTAAGGCAACTTTCCTACATCACTATACATTTGCTTCTGCGTTTACTTCTCTCGTAGATGGTCTGCTCGTTCCACTCTTCAATGCGCCTCCGCCACAGATCATGTGCAGCCGCTTGTGAGCTGGTAGATAGCGTGGGGTCTGTCGATGCCCGGCGGTTCAGCGGTGGAATTCCCCCAGGCGGCAGTCGGACATTCTGAGATTGAGAGCGCCGATCTGCTCCTCGGTAGTAGGTGGAACGTTGTCGGCTCCCATGCACACCTTCGGGGGCATCATGTTGAAAGGTCGAGACCTGAAGATTAGGCGAGGAGATGGAGTAGGGGTAATGGTCCAGATTGAAAGTCCCATTCTGTGTCGGTGGCATAGCCTCCTGCCAGTCTGTAGTGCCAAGCAAAGACTCCTCAAGCAAAACGTCCTGGTAATTTGCTCGTTGAACGGCTGACGATTGATTCGGCTGTGTAGACTCACTGAGGACAGGGTGCAGTTGGCCCTGGAAGTTGACCGCAGGGTCTTGCTCTGGCACAGGCATGTGCGCTCCATCGAGCCCGTGGAGGTTAGGTTGGGGTCCTGTGGCAGAGCTCCTTCTGCGAAAGAACATGGTATGTCGTCTGTTCGGTTCAGGGGACTCGGAGTCTCTCACGCCCCTTCTCATGCGAGCGGCGAGCCGTGAGCCAGTAATGGTATGCAATCTTTGCAGCGAGCTCCGGGACGGAGATTCGTCAACCATCCGTTCCAGACGGCTTGTCTGAGGTCTCTGAATGCCTTCTGGAACATCACCGACTCTACGGGCCGGTTCCGTATTCGAAGGAAGGAGGGTCCTTCGGAGATAATCTGGTAGCGGTGCGTCGGGGTCCCTAGAATAGGGAGGTGGCGGTGGAACCCAATTGTCTGCGTCGCTCTCATGAGGAACCTGGAAAACCTGGGTGGCTGGCCTTTGGCCTTGAACAGGGCGGGCTTCGTCTTGATAGCGTGGGTTGTTGCGTCCGCGACCATTAGCCGCAGCCGTGGCTGCACGACGCAACGTGTCCCGAGATCGAGGCTGCGTGTTATCGTATGGTGATTCCGGAATGTGTTGGATTTCACTATTCGAGGAGCCCGAGAAGAAGGAGCTGTTTCTGCGGGCATATTGCCGAGGTGCGTGGACGACCGAATTGGCTGAAGGATAGGACTCTCGAGCAAATGCGCGTGCCCGAGGTGAAGCAGCATTCCCACGATGTAACCGCGTCCTTCTCCTCTCCAGCTCGACCTCAGTATCTAGGGTAGAGTTCGGTTCACTTAGAAGCTTCGGCTCCGCATCACCGACTTCGATGTTGACTTCAGTAGAGTCACCGTCCGTGACAGATCGTTCCAGGTCTAACAGCAGCACACGTCCACCATCTACCGGTACGTCTTCTTCGCCAATAGTTGGAGGGCTAATGCCACCAGGAGCAACGGCTACCAATCTACGACGACCAGCCACACAGTTTGGATGGCGTACCCAACGAGCTGCTGTCATTCCCGCCATGTCGGTCATCTTGTGGCCATTGATCAGAACCTTGGGCTTTGTAATGGACTGCTGGAGTCGGGACAGACTATCCCGGGCAGTAGCCGCCTCCTCGATCGAAGGGCCCTGCTCAACATCCATTTCAGCATATGTTCTTGCGTTGGGAGCTACAGGAGCAATATCCAGACGATCAGGTATTCCATATACCCATAAGCCAGAACTCTCAAATCCTATAGCAGCCAGCTCCCCAAGATCGTCAACGGTGGGTAGCATGATGGGAGTTGTCTCTCGAGACCCATCCTCAGACATCGGAGTCACGAAATATGTTGTACCCGAGTTCGTGTTGTGCACCCCAAATGCTCGAAACGTGTTTATTTGTTCATCGAATCCCAGTAGCCAGTTGCCTTCACCTTCTGCGTGCCAGGGCAGCAAACAGGCGTGGCTAAACCCAGTGGTTAGGTCTGGAAACAGAATTTGTGTAGTCCACATACGGATCTGTGCATCCCTCGGTGAATACTCGGTTTCTGATTCTGTGTAAAATGGCACGGTTATAGTGACCAAACCGCCGTTACCGCGCTCAGCCGAAGTCCCTAGGAGCATGACACCATCAGAGGAGAACGACACCGAGTCAACCCCGGAGCAGCGCACTGCTCGTCGTTCGGTAGCCAGTGCCCCTTCACCGATGGCGTAGACTTCAATTCGATCATCGTACGCAATGGCAAGAACTCCTCCTGTCGGAGAGAGCGCTAAGGTCCGAGGAACATCGTTCAATGTCAAGTCTTGAATGTGCTTCGCTTCATCATCGGTAAGGCGGTAGATATTGACCCGGTGAGTGGAGGAAACGACAGCGAGAATGGAGCCATCATCTACAATGGCAGCATTCAAAGGCCGTCGCCAAGTCTTGAGCTCATGTTTCACGACCGCCCGATCCGAGGTTACATCAAGTACCACAATTCTGGAAGAGCTGATGCACAAGATAAGCTGTGCATTAGGAGAGAAAGAAAAGCGGAATGCTTCACCTTGTGGAAAGGCCGTCGAAGAGCTCATAGAAGTCGAGGTAAGCTTGATGAGAGTCCTGCGGGGCCGGAGAAACGCATTGAATGTATTCCGCCTGACCTGCGCGCCGAACTGCCGCTTGAGCAGTGTGAGATCGCTTGATTGAGCGGGCTGCTCAGTAGCCTTCTGCGTCAAGGCAAAGGACGGGCACTGGGAGAGATGATGCGCATACAAAAGGGTTGAGTCCGATATGCGTCGCCATTTCCGGTTCAGCAGAGTTAACGACGCAAATGTGTTGGCATCCGCAAGATATAGAATACTAGGGCGCCAGTTAAATCAAAGATCCTTCCGAGCACAGGCAGCAGATATCATCAATCACATGATTGTCGCTCGCGCGATGCACCGGCTCTGGGACGGAGATGCACTTACTGCTCGATGACGGTACGAGGCAAACGAGCAAACGGCGACGAAGTCTGCTTCTCCAGACGCGGTCGCGTGCTTTTCGGGGGCTCCTGATGCAGCTTAAGGGAGCAGGTGGTCGAGGGACACTGATCGGGATCAAGATGGGGGCCGCCAAGCCGCTCTGAGGTGGGCAACCGGACATCCTCCTCCATGGTCGATGGTAGTAGTAGTTAGTTTTGAATCTCACCCACGCGGGTCTACATTTGATAGAACAAATGCAGACGACACTGGGGGATGTTCAATTATCCAAGACCAGCATGATTTTTCGAGGACATAGGGGGCGAAATAAAGACCGCGGAAGGAAGCACGCTGGTGGGCAAGCGGGAAGCGCCAACGAGCAAGGCCGGTGGCTGTGTCCCTCACCCGCACGCCAATAATGCACCGGGGATCTTCTGCTCCAATGCGTATGGGGTTCTGAAACGGGGCGGTTTCAAATGACCGAGGAAGGGGAACTCGATAGGTCAGAAGCGGGGAAGCATCAAGAGGTTTATAAGAACTTGGGGAAGGAAATCCAAGAAGAGATGAGTTCGGATGGGGAATAGTTAATAGGTGGGATGAGGAGGATGGAGAAAAGAGGAGGAGAGTGGATGAAATGGAATGGGTTCCTGACAATGAAACACAAGAACCAACTAGTGTATGTATGTATGAGATGTATTAAGAGGCATTGTTCACTACTACTACATAGTACTAGTTGTAAGTATGAAACAATGTATGCAATCTTACCGCGCTAAGCCCTGGCAGGAGGGACCTCTCCCCAAAGCGGACTAGTGCTTGCGCGGATGGCCATTACATCAATCTGGGGCACGTGGTTGGTCGCCCTGACTGACTCAGCTGTGACTGAAATGCTCCCCACAAGTTGTTTTGGCAGATTCTACGGACTAAGTAATACCAAGGCTTTTCTCGATCGCGCGCGCTTCCAGAAACTCAAGGAGATCACCGAGCCACCAGCCAGGCATACTTGCTTGGACCTTTCAGCCTTCACTGACGGTGTGGGGTGATTTCTTCAATTCAATGACTGTGCACTTATCGGCGCTTCCTGTCTTTTCCCCTCTCCCCTCCCAGCCCCAAAAATTTCCGATGCTGTCCCTCGGTCTTGTGATCTAGCCAAGTCGGACAAGTAGATAACTTGACTAGTGCGAGTACAAAGTACCATACCAAACTTGACAGTTCATTTAACTAGCCCATAGACCATATGCAATGAGTTAGACTCGCAACGCTACCAGTAATCGTTGAATTACCATTAGTAATTAGATAATTACTTATACTAGTAGTTCTATACTATTGGGTAGCAGCACTATATGCTAATATATATATCTGGTACATCATCATATTGCAGCCAAAGCTTCGATTCTAGACCACAACTATCCAGCAAGGTCAACGATTAGAATGTAAGTTATTGCCAAGCGCATGCTTACTGTTAGTAGACCTGATGACATACTTGGTAAATCCGAGAGGGTGCTGGTAATGGAAAACGTGCTCACTACCACTGCTCTTATAAGATCCCAGGACTCAATGTAACCATATGGCAACAATCAACAAAGATATTATATTTAGTTTCACTAACCATGGAATAGCTACAAATGTCACACGTATTAGTCGCAAACAATCTTTGATAATTATATTGATGATTAATCCCCCAAAAGAAAATTACGATAGCTGTACAACTTTAAAGAAAAGACACAAGTCAAGGATAATGAAGGTTCTTTTGACTTCATTAGTATTTATCAATTTATACACCGCAAAACCAAATACACAACCAAATGCTATTTTACAACGGAGATGAAAACCCGTGATGAATCGCGCAAAAGCCAACGAAATGAAAAGAAGAACAAGAAAAACCCCTCTAATGTGAACCCCACATTCCCGAGACCATCGAGCAGATGGCATCTCGGATATACATTAAATAGCCCAATGAAATTCTTTTTTGGGAAGTAAACAGCGGAAGAGAGAAGAGAAGGTCATTGCGGGCGAGCGCTTCATGCGCCCCGCCGCGTCATCGCTCAAGAAAGCATCTACTGCTGCTTGGGACCAGCACCGAACATGCCGGTGAAAGAGCCCTTCATCATGGCCATCTGCTCCTGGCGGGCCTTCTCCTCCTCCGCGGCCATCTCGGCCAGCCACTTCTCGCCGTTCTCACGGATCTCCTTCTCAATCATCTCGTAGTTCTTCTGGCCACGTTCACGGATCTGGTCCCACAGCATCTTACCTTGGGCCAAGCCCTCCGAGGGGCTCTGCTCACCGTCCAGGGTGCGGGTGGATTTCAGGCCCAGGGCAGAGGCGAAGCTGCCCAGACCGCTGCGGGGGCGCTTCTTCTGCTCCTCGGCGAGCTCCTTCTCGAAGCGCTCGCGCATGGCCTTCTCACGCTTGGCGAATTCCACGGGGATCTGGGTGCCCTCGAAGGACTTGATGACGGGACGAACGTCTTCGACGCCCATACCGGCGAGGTATTCGAGGAAGGGGATCATGCCGACGAGGGTCTTGTCCTTGGAGTCACCAAGCCACTTTTCAAGGATGACGGCGTTTTCGGGCTGCAGGCGGGCGTGCTCCTCCTTGGTGTCGATCAAGATCACCTTGGACAGATCACGGTTGAGGTAGGACAGGTCCTAGTTGTCTGAATTAGTCATGACTGGGAGCTAGGTACAGCCAACAGTGACATACCTTGATGTACTCTCCATCCTTGTACTTGGTGGCTTCACGGAACAAGGGCCAGCGGATGATGCGGTAGGGGTCAAGCTTCCGGAGCACCTGATCGGCCATCATGCTGGGCACGCTGGTGAAAAGGACGAGTTCGTAGTACTGGTTGAGGTAGCGGAGGAAGTAGTCGACACCCGGACGCTTGGCCACACGCCATCCATGCTCACGGCTCCACTCGCTGTGCACCAGGAGGTCCTCCAGACTCAGCACAAGAGTGTAAGGCTGACGCATGTTGGGGTCCTCATCGGGCAGCAGCTTGGGGAAGGCAGGGTCCTTGTAGTAGCTGGTGATATCGCCCAAGCGGGCCTTGGCACGGTTGTACATGAGTCCGAAGCCCCAACCCGATGGCACATCGGGGTGGGCTTTCTCTTCCTCCTCGGTCTCCCAGTTGCGGCCCAAATAGGCCACACCACCAGCACCTGCCAGCAGGAACAGGACATACATCAGGTTGGCCATGCGAGCGCGCTTGCGATCGAGGGAGGATTCGTAGTTGGGAATGTCACGACCACCATCATCGTAATCTTCCGCACGCGACGGGTCCTCTGTGAGGTTCAGCTTGCTTGGTCCGCGGTTCTTCGAGGCGGCTTCCAATTCTGCGGCAAGGGTGGAGGGAATGCCCTGGGTGAGATCGGGCAGGGGTTTTTGAGGAGCATCATTCTGGGGAGCTGTAGAGCCGGTCTGAGACTGGGAATAAAAAGTGTCAGAAGGTGTGTTGAGATTATCAGCGTCGTCATCAAACTCACGGCTTCGGTGGCCGGTTCAGCCTTGGTATCGAATTCGGCCTGCTCCGCGGAGTAGTCGTTCTGAGAGGGAGCCTTGGGCGACTGTTCCGACTTGGCGGACTTGACGGATTCGGGAAGCTTGTAGGGAGTCTTGGGCTTGGTGGACTTCGCATACCAACGCGAGTGGGCGACGGAGATCGTTGAAGCTCGAACGGTCGAGGTGAGGACGTTCGGCCTCGTCAGAGGCAGTACGGCACGACTAAGCATTATGAAAGTGAAAAGGGCATCTATAGATGAGCGGGAGAAGATGAGAAATACACGCGCCGGAATGATATCACCACCGACACCAAGGGAGGTCAAAAGAGCACGGTTGGGGTGAAGTGAAGAACAATCAAGAAACAAGAAGCAAGTGGATGATCGGGGCCCAGCAATGCCGGCGGTCTTCGGCGGAAACAGAAAAGTTCACGCACTGACCGTCGGGCGGGGTCACGCAGACCAACAGTGCAGTACTGGAAATTAGTTTAAATACCGGCGCGGAGATGCCTTCCTTTCCTTCCCTTTCTTCTTTTTTCTCACAATTTGAAAGTTGAAACCCAGCTCATAAATTTGACTCATCAGGCCTTTCTCCTCCATGCGTGCCGGGTTGAATTAGGCTGGGGAGACCAATATTCCCACATCCAAGAGCCGCAGCGAAGGGACCCCATGCAGCTGCAGCCCCGTTGGTGGGATATATCCTTCTTGTCCTTCCTTCATAAGTATTAGTGATGGATGCTATATCGTGTCGTATATGTCGTTAATTCTCGACTTCCAGCTCAATGCAACAATGGGATGATTCAGAAAAGAAAGGAACAGAAAAGTTTCAAATCATCCGAGGAGTTCACTCTAAAAGATCCTCATTCGTATCGTGGCGTATATTTCTTCTCTTCCATCTAGATCCGTTTGAGCGCAGGCTTTTTTTTCCTTCCTCTCTTGCCTCTTCAACCCACCACCCTCTACACAAAAATGACCAACATGAACTCCCTCTCCCAAGCACTGGAAAAAGTCCGCTTGGACAACAAATCCACCACTGGCAAAACCGTGAAAGGCAAGCCCATCAAGAAGCAACGTACGAAAAAACCCCCCATCGAACCCTTCCGCTTCTTCGACCTTCCCTCCGAGATCCGTCTACGCGTCTATCACTTCGTGCTCTTCACCCCGAAACGCGGACGCAACCCGCGCCTAACAGGCAGCGTGGGCGCCTCGTCGAAGAAAAACCCTCCTATCTCCCCCACCTCCCACCGAGTCGCGCTATTCCTGACCTCATGGCGCATGCACGATGAAGCCTCAGACTATTTCTACTCCACCCAAGTATTCCGTCTCTTCCACCTCCAGGACTACTCGCGTATGCCAACCATCCGGGCCATACCCCCGCGGTACCGTCCCTCCATCGCCACAGTCGAGTTGATTCTCGGATCGAGCTGGACAGCGCCACCGAGCGAATGGACCATCACACGCAGTCTGGGACTGGAGGAGATGGAGCGGATGCGCACGTTTAAGGTCTTCGTCGAAGTCGATCCATCGCATCCGGTGTTCGAGGGGTTTCGCATCTCAAAGGACTATTATACGGATTTCGCGGGCGATTTGCTCAAGGGTGTCCTGGAGAGGTTGCCGAATCTGGAATACGTGGAGTTTGATGGCTGGCCATCTGTACGGAAGAGCGGTGCTCTGATGAAGAGACTGATGCATGAGGTCAGGTCGGCCGGGATAAAGATTGCGTGGGGCCCCGAACGGGGGTGGACAGATTTTGATGGGGAGGAGTTTAGTGAAGATGCGTATGGGGTTATCGCGCATGAAAAGAAAATGCAGGAAAAGGCTCGTCGGAAGAAGGAATTAGAGGAGGCGCAGGAATTCGCCAGGTTGCATGGCCTGCCGCCGCCGCCACTTCCGTTGTTCAATCCGTACCTCGATTATTGAGATGTGATCATGATATGATGGGTTTGGGTCTTCATTTGGCATGATATGATATTGCGGCCTTGCGGGAGTTTAGATCGGTTGCTTTCACTGGGATTGCTTATATAGTTAGATGCACATATACCTATACATAGATTTTTTAGACAATAAAGTGCACACTTTTTGTTGTTATTTGGTTCAAATCACTTGGTGTTGTTACTACTGGTGATTATATACCGGGTTGATACATATAACGTCATTCATTGATGTGTCTGCCAAGACCAGATGACCGTCCTGTACATGAAACCTGAGTTCAGGGAGTCTGAAATGGCATTAGGAAATATATGTTATGGTATGGTTGCTCTATAGTTCCTCATCAACCTCCATGCCGGTGCCATTTTCCTTGCCGTTTGATTGCCGTGCCACCGAGGCCTCCTTGTCAATCATCTGCCGCGAGACGGCTACGATGTTGTCCTCAATCAACTGCTGGCTCACATCTTCGATGTCTGCAGAGAATCTGATCAGTAACAAAATAACGAATCGTGCAAGCGATAAACTTACGCTTCTTGGGGTCGACCTTGCCGACGTATCTGGTCTTAAGCTGGTCCTTGGTGAGCGTGGTCTCCTCCTTGACCCGCTTCTCGTAACCCTCGGCGAGGCTGACGAGCTGCTTCATGCGCTCAACGTTGTGCTCTCCCTCCTCGTGGAAGTCCTTCATCTGCAGCGCCTCCGTCCAGACGTGCTTGTGCAGGTTCATCAGCATGTTCTCCTCGAGACCGGTCTTGCGGTAGTCGATGGCAATGCTGTAGTAGTGGCGGTTGAGACCGTGGATGAGGGCCTGAATGGACGGCTTGTTCAGATGACCCAAGTTGGATGTTGTTTGGCGGGGCTCCTGGCCCATGACGACGGTCTGTGGTTGGATGAGACGGAAGGCATCAATGACGACCTTGCCCTTGACGGACTGGATGGGGTCGACGACCACGGCAACGGCGCGGGGAGTGAGCTGTTCAAAGGATTGCTGAGTGTTGATATCGACGGACGAAAGCCAGCAGCCGAAACCAGGATGCGAGTGGTACCAGCCAACAACGGTCTCTGGTCTATAGCATGATGCGTTAGGATGAGCCGGGTAGTTCGCGGGATATTTTTCGAGCTTACCGTCCAGTCTGCCTCAGCATGTCCATCATCTTCGTTTGGAAAACAGGGTCCACAGCTTCGACACTGACACCAGTACCACTTTGAGGCATGGCGAAAACGTCGACTACCCTGACTGTGTACTCGTCCACGAACTCTCCCAGCATCAGACCCATGACTTCCATGGGCACACCAGCCCGACCGTGTCTTAGCATCTTCAGCAGAGCGAGCGATGAGATGTGGACGGTTTCGGAGTTATCGATGAGGTTGGGGATATCCTGTACCTGCATTAGCCCATAGCCCCAAACACTCTGCAGATACGAGTGCCATGTCCGCTGCTCGTCTAAGTGTTACTCACTCCATTATTCCCTCCAACGCCCATGCCCTGGGCTGCTTGGAGCATGCGATGCAAACGATCCATAGTGGAGACGGGGGGTTGGTTGAGTGTTAGTTATGTAGATGAGACCAGGATGACTTCCTACGCGGAAGCTCCAATCGGAAGGTTGAGTGGGGGTATCAGAGCAAATTCGATGATTGGAAAAGCTCAGATGTTATATAGGCAAAGGGGATGCTCGAGCCGGTTCCGATGGAACAGTAAGCGAGGTTAGACAAAAGCTGAAGATGGGAAGCAGGTGGTGATGGAGGCGCAACTGGGGCGTGTGTAAGTAGTGACGGTCGAGCTTCCCAAGAAGCCTGACGAAGGCGGTGGAGCAGCTTGGGGTTCCGCCTTTGCGTCTCCCTTCGCTTCCTTTCGGTCCCCATCACTTATTGTCCGCCCCCGGCCATTGCGAATGTACTCCATTAGTGCCACTCTGTGAGAGTTATTCGACTGACTCACGTATAGGGCGCCTTATCTGTCCTACTCAGTATATCTCTTGTCTATCTGATTGTGCTTTTCCTGTTTCCCTCTCGATTTGACGCTCACATACACCACCCCGAGAATTCACCGCGCTCAAGCGACATTCCTACGCATTGGTCTGAGTGAGGATTCGCCGTGTGCCTCGCACAGTGACCTTCGATATGAGTAACTCACTCGCGCCTTTGGATCCCATTACCAATGGGTCGGCGGATCGCAATAAGAAAGTCGCCTATTTCTACGATTCCGACGTGGGAAACTATGCCTATGTTTCGGGACACCCGATGAAGCCTCATCGCATAAGGATGGCTCACAGTTTGGTCATGAACTATGGCCTTTATAAGAAGATGGAGATATACGTGAGTGATTATGGATGATAACTATTGGATCTTCACAGGGTTTCTGCGACGTCTTTTGGAAGTAGCGCTGACGCAGTCTACAGCGGGCGAAGCCGGCCTCGAAATATGAAATGACCCAGTTCCACACGGATGAGTATATCGACTTCCTTTCGAAGGTTACACCGGACAATATGGACTCCTTCGCGAAGGAGCAGAGCAAGTACAATGTCGGAGACGATTGTCCCGTTTTCGATGGGCTCTTCGAGTTTTGCGGTATCAGCGCGGGTGGTAGTATGGAGGGTGCCGCTCGGCTCAACCGCAACAAGTGTGACATTGCCGTTAACTGGGCCGGTGGTCTTCACCACGCGAAGAAAAGTGAAGCAAGTGGATTCTGTTATGTAAATGGTAAGGTTTGCGGTATCCTATTCTGGGCCTTGGCTGACGAAACACAGACATCGTTCTGGGTATCCTGGAGCTGCTGCGATTCAAGCAACGCGTGCTCTACGTTGATATCGATGTCCACCACGGAGATGGTGTTGAGGAGGCATTCTACACGACTGACCGTGTGATGACGGTGTCCTTCCACAAGTACGGCGAGTACTTCCCAGGTACGGGTGAGCTGCGCGATATCGGAGTGGGTCAGGGCAAGCACTATGCCGTCAACTTCCCTCTCCGCGATGGCATTGATGACATCTCCTACAAGAGTATTTTTGAGCCCGTTATCAAGAGCGTTATGGAATGGTACCGACCCGAAGCGGTGGTCTTGCAGTGTGGTGGCGACAGTCTTTCGGGCGACCGTCTCGGATGCTTCAACCTCAGTATGCGGGGCCACGCGAATTGTGTGAACTTTGTGAAGAGCTTTAACCTGCCCACCATGATTCTCGGCGGTGGTGGTTATACGATGCGAAATGTGGCACGTACTTGGGCCTTCGAAACCGGTATTCTCGTTGGTGACACCCTTGGGGCAGAGCTTCCTTACAACGATTACTACGAGGTAGGTTATAGTTTCTAGGTGATGACCATGCACAGCTAACAGACTTAGTACTTCGCACCTGACTACGAGCTGGATGTACGTCCGTCCAACATGGACAATGCCAACACGAAGGAGTACCTGGACAAGATCCGCACACAGGTCGTGGAGAACCTCAAGCGGACCGCCTTTGCGCCCTCCGTGCAGATGACCGAGGTGCCACGAGAGCCTCTCGTGGAGGGCATGGACGACGAGGCAGATGCCATCTTGGACGATCTGGACGAGGACGAGAACAAGGACAAGCGCTTCACCAAGCGGCGCTTCGATCAGTACATTGAGAAGCCCGGAGAGCTTAGCGACAGTGACGACGAGGAGCTGGCTGGGGCCAACGGTGTCCGGCGGCAACCCAACGCGCTTAAGCGGAGAAACCAGGTCAACTATCGGAATCTCGATGTGAACGATTCGGGGCTGGAGAGCGGCATGGCTACGCCACAGGACGCATCCTCCATCCCTGACGATGACATGGATACGACTGGTGATGCGAAGATGACCGAGGCTCCGGAGCCGGAGACTGAGGCGCAAGCCACCCCCTCTGCGGCCGATGCGCCGTCCCGAGCAGATGAAGCCTCCGCGACAGAGCAGACAGAGATGGCAGTGGATGGACCAGAAACGACGGCAGCATCGGCGCCGATCTCCCGGCAACCGTCTCCCAAGCCCCAGGACGAAGACACCGCGATGGTAGATGCGGGCGAGGCCGCACCGGAAACCGAGAAATCCGAAGCTGCGCCTGAAGGCGCGGCTGAAGAAGAAGAGACGAAGCCCAGCGAGGAGACCCCTGCGGCTGACAAGCCCGCTACGGAAGAGACGCCTGCCGCAAAAGAAGAGTCACCTGCGAAAGAGACAACTGAGGCAGCCGATACGGCAGAAGCGGAGACCAAGCCTGCGGAGGCCAGTGAGCCGAGTGAGACCAAGGACAAGACACCAGAGGCAGCCAAGGACGAGTCGGGTGAGGCTAAATCAAAGGAGCCCAGCGCGGAAGCCGCAGGAGCAACAGAAGCCGAGAAGACCGAGGAAGGAAGCAAGACTGAGGAGTGAAGCTGAGCGAGCAAGATGGGAACAAACGAACGACTGGCGCAAAGGCACGGGCGGATGGTGTTTGGGAACGAATTGATTTCTTACCATATTATTATTACATATTTGAGAGCATGAATGCCTAGTATTTTTAGAGCAGATTCAATAACGTGTATTTACCAATGTATTCAATATTAAGCAACTTGCTACAACTGTCACCCTAGATAAGAAGTACGATAGCTGTTTATCTTTGATAGCCAGTTAGTCTAGACATCCTGACTCATCCCTGACTAATCCAGCCTAGCTGCATCGAGACTAGCTCTAGGGCAACCCTCTATCCGCATAAACCAACCAATGGGAGAGCACTGCCAAGATTTTACCCACGACGCACACTAAGCGAGAAGCAAATCGAAACCCGCGACCAAGTCTCTGAATCCGACGACACCCCCCGTTTCGACCGTCCGTCCGTCCCCCTTCCCTTGTCGCCCAGTTTTAATCCGACAACCCTAGATACACAGCCAAGATGTCTGCGAGAGGGTGAGTTATTCTTTTTCGTTGTTGGGAGATGTGTGGGAAAGAGAGACAGAGAGAGAGGAAGGAATCCGGACCGGAGATATTGAAAAGTTGCGGGAATGAGATGAGATGAGGAGCGATGGGGATAGGATGAATTGCTGGCTGGAGATTTCGACTCGAAATTACACGGTCGGATCATGTTCGATATGCGACACATACGACATTGAAAAGAGGCGGAATGAATGAACGAAAGTCCGGGAAAGAGCTGGAATACATCTATGGAGATGGAGGAGGGATTTGATATACATGGGATACAAGGGGAATAATGAAAGCTAACAAAATATTTTCAACAGACGCGGTGGTGCCTCCGGCAACAAGCTCAAGATGACCCTCGGTCTGCCTTGGTATGTCAACTCCAAATCTCTTTCCGTTCCACAATACACGCACCCATCTTCGAGAGAAATATGCGATTCGATACAAAATCAATCAATCAATCTCGACAACAATCTTTTGATTCGAAACTCGAACAATACACACACACAATACCCCCACTCGATATCCCACCCCAAACCATGATATACAACCTACAGAACCCGACACGAACACAAATGAAAGAAGAATGAACACAGCTAATTTCTGCCTCACAGCGGCGCCGTTCTCAACTGCTGCGACAACTCCGGTGCTCGCAACCTGTACATCATCTCCGTCAAGGGTATCGGTGCTCGCCTGAACCGTCTCCCCGCTGCCGGTGTCGGTGACATGGTCATGGCCACCGTCAAGAAGGGAAAGCCTGAGCTCCGTAAGAAGGTCATGCCCGCTGTTGTTGTCCGTCAGAGCAAGCCCTGGAGACGCCCCGACGGTATCTACCTCTACTTCGAGGACAACGCTGGTGTTGTACGTACCCTTGTCCCATATCTCCGCCATGTGGTGAAGGATTGTGGCATATGGATACTAATGATTGAGTCTAGATCGTCAACGCCAAGGGTGAGATGAAGGGTTCCGCTATCACCGGTCCCGTTGGTAAGGAGGCTGCTGAGCTTTGGCCTGTAAGTCATCCTTCATCTTCATCCCTAGTATATCAGCTAGTGGGGAAAAACATGCTAATTAGTTATCTAGCGTATTGCCTCCAACTCCGGTGTTGTCATGTAAAATGTGTTAAACCTGGAATTTGGAGCAAGAAAGAAAAAAAAAGCGATACCAAGGGCTTCTAGAACAAAGGGGGTGGTACCGGTTTTTTTTTTTTAGTATGACCTAAGAACATTCTAAAAATGAAAAGGATTCATAAAAAATTTAAACCTGTCCACCTTTTTCTTATCTGTTTCATGATGTAATGTATTGTAGACGTATCTGGTTATGAAATGATTGATTGATTGATCGGATGATCTATATAGATTCAGTGTTACTATAACTAGTATGTATGTATGTAAGTTATTGCTTTTTGATCTTCTTATCCGCTCTGGTGGTATCCTTTCCAGCAGAGACACCAGTACCAGCTCCAATGATACTCGATCCGATATACAGTACCACCAATGCGAAAGTAATTACATCGACGACATGCACCGCCCACCAAAGATGCTGCACGCCTGCGGCGCACATCTGGATCTCGTACTTCCATTCCGTACCGGTGAACCACACCGATAGGAGTCCGGCGTAGCCTCCGTATTCTCCCATCATGGAGCGCATAGTCACTTCCCGGATGGCGGGGACGCCCAGGTCCCCTTCTCTTGTGATGCCGTGCTGATAGCGCAGGGCATCCCATTCCCAGCCAGGTGCGTCACCGTCATCCTCGTTCGTGTCATCGCCATCTACTTCAGCAACAGTGCGATTCACGAAATGCACCACATCACAGCCCGTATGATCGTGGCCCGTAAGAATAAGGCCCTTCCTCCCCCAACCGTTTCCGAAGACGGTGTCGTCCCCACTCATCCCGAAAATGCCCTCGAGGACAGCATTAGCGCTGGCGTACTGGCTTAGGTGGTTCTGTTCTTTGAGACCGCCGGCGTAGAAGCGCGGGTTGCCGGCGGCGTCGCCCTTGGAGTCGTCGTCATCGTGGAAGGCGAAGAAGGGGGCATCGGTGCAGATTCCTTCTTTCTTGTGGAGGGGGAGGTGGGTTAAGAGGAGAGTGAAGGTTTGCCCGCGCGGAGATGAAGTGACTGATGGGCTTCGCTCTTCTAGTAGGCTGTTTAGGTATTCGTATGTGGCTGATTGGACTTCAGGGCTCAGGGCGGGGGTATCTAGGACGAGACTGTTGAGGTTGATGAGGTGGATTGTTGGAACGGTTTCCTCTCCCTCTTTGCCTTCTTCAGAAGAAGGTAAGGTGAATTTGATATCCCAATCTCCCCTTCCAAACACCCTCTCGAACCTTTCAATTCGCGATGGACTGGCATCCCCCGCATATCCGACATCGTGGTTCCCCACGACGTTCACAACCCTCCTCTGCCACTCCCCATTATCAGTTTCCAGCGCCTCCGTCCCCATCTCCCCGGTAATCTCATCATCTACCCGCACACCACCGCGGAACACCCGTTCCCAGTATCTCCGACCACGTTCGTCAAACTCCCCGTCACTCACCCATTGGCTCCCCACTAGATCTCCTAGCACGGTGACATGCGACGGCGCACTCCACCAGTGCATCGTGCGGTAGATATGCGCCAGGTAGTAGTCATTTCCGAGAAGGTCAAGGCGTTTGCGCGCGGCGCGAAATGCGCGGGGGAGATCGGTAGAGACGAGGGAGCGGAGGACGGAGCGGAGGGTGTATAGGGTGGCGGATGGGGGTTTTGTGCGGAGTGTGGAGGACAGGTCGGCGTAGTAGTTGGAGAGTTTAGCGGGGAGTTGATCGTGGGGTTTGGGGAGGGAGGTGTCGCCTTCTAGTTGGGGGTCGGCGAGAACGAGGAGGCGGAAGATGGGAGAGGTCGCAGATGAAGGAGGCGACGGGGAGAGGTGGTGGCGGAGGGTGGAGAGGAAGGATGGAGAGAGGTGTGGAATCGAGAGATGAGAGGAGGTAAATTCCTCTGGCAGAGGGAATGCGCAGCCATGGAAGACGGGGTAAAGATAGAGATAGACAGTGCTGGTCAGAGCCAGCGGGAGGAGGATGGCCAGCGCGTGGCGGAGGAGAAGGCGGAGGAGGGACATGGGGATAACCGCATCGATGGAGAAAAGGAGTGACTGGAATAGGAATAAATGAAAGAAATAATAGAATAGAACAGAAATAAACCAAGGAGAGTAAACGGGGTTGAACGCGCTCAATCAAGCCATCATCGTGTGGATTGTGAGAAGTAGAAGAAGAAGCGAGGATGAAACGGCGGTGATCAGTGACGCGGCCCGCCGATCCCCGTCGCTTATACTGCTTAGAGAAATATAATGATAAAGACTTCACATTCAACATTCACATCCATATTACATCCTACATAGTAGACAGACAGACAGGCAAATAGGTAGACTCGTTCACATATGAAAACATTCAAGCGGGGTATATCACATAAAACGCCAACCAGGCTGCGGTAAAAAGCAATACATCACACATATAAGCAAATCAATCAATCAATCAATCCTCCATAAATTACTGCGAGTTCCGCTGCAACCCAGGAACTGACACCTCGTCCATCGCGACCGGACTCGCCGATCGATGCTCCTCCGCATCCACATATACCGGCTCTGTCTCCGGATCCATGGACACCCCCTGGATTAACAGCCCTTGGCGATCTTGCTCCAGATCCGTCAAGCCGTCCTGTGCCTCCGTCTCTGTCTCGGGAGGAGCCACATCCGCTGTATTAGGCGATCCAGTCATCAGCGCTGGAGGACGTTGGTTCATCAGCCGCGCCTCCTTGAGACTGATCGTACGCTGCTTGTTCGTTGTCTCCACCGGCAGCGCCATGTCCCGCTCAATCGTCGCCTTCATCAACGCCGCCATCCACAGTCGACCCTCCTGCACGTTGTCAACTTGGAAGTAATGGATGGCTGGCTTAGTAAACTGAACAGTCCGTGATGTCCCTGACTTTGGCGGCACCAGCTTGAAGAAGAACGGCCCTTCACCAGCTCCCTTGGTCGCCCGAAGGGCCTCTGCTGCAGCCTTATCGGAGGAAGCTCCATCCCCCTGGCTCAACTGACTGGCCGGAGTCGGCGATGCGGTCGATCCCGTGATGGTGGCATGGAGGGCCACAATGGGATCATTGTCTGCGCGCAACACTCGATGAGCAGTTATGTCAATTAAGCCACGCTCCTCCGTGTCCTGTTCCGAATAGTAGTACGACAGACGCCGCCCCCGCAGGACAAACAGACGGGGTTTCCACGTCGTCATCAGGTTGGAAGACCGCTTCTTCATCCACCCGAAGTAATCGCATCCGACCATCTGCTCCTGTGGCGACTTCTTCTCCAGCCCGCGGATATACGCGCTCGTGTCTTTCTTGGACTTGACACCCGCCTTGACGGACGGCCGGGATCGAGGCCACAGGCCACCCTCGGCGGTCTTGTTAGACCCATCGGTGCTGTGTCGCTCCGAGCTCTTGGACGTCGAAGGGGTGGTCGACCCGGTCCGCGCCGACGGATCGTTGTCCCGAACGGGAGAGGCCGGCGGCGGCGTCGACGTATCAATTCCCTTCGGCGCCACGTCAGACGAAGCACGAATTCCCATGGCACGCCGGAATTTCGGTCCCGCACCCTTGAGCTGAGGCAAAGGTACCCCGGACGAGCGCGAGGAATCGCTGTCGGACTTGCCAAACAGCGGACCAAACAAGCCTAACGCACCGCTGGGCCGATCCTCCACTGCGGAAGCGGGCGCTGATTGCTGTCCTCGGCGGTCAACGATGCGAGTGCTCAGACTGCGGAGACGGCCCTTGGGCACCGGGCTGGTGTGCGATTTGGCCGGAGGGTTCATCTGCTTGACAGACTCCCGAATCGAGTCCATGCTGCCGATGCGCGAATGGCGCTTGCCGACGCGGAGCTGGTCATTCGTCATGTTGGATGCCCGAGAGTCCGCACTGCCCGCAGCAGATTGACGTTTCTGTAGGCGCCGGTTCTTGCGCATGTCTCCCTCGGGCCCCGAGAAGTAGCCCCGGTCCAATTCGTCGGTGACGGAGACAGCTGGATCAGACCCATTCGAGTTGGAGGGGCGGTGACTCAACTGGGAAAAGAAACCCATGTCCTGCGGATGAGACGTGCCGGCTGCAGTTCCAGGTCGAGGAGGCAGCCGCTGAGCGCCGCTGGCCAAAGTCCAGCCGCGATCGAACGAACTGCGCTTGCCGATGCCTGGCGACCCTTCCAGAGCACCCGAGTACCGGTTCGTCGTGTCGATGGACGAGTGGCGTCGGGAGTGGTTGATTTCGCGGATGGAAGCAGCCGATGGTCGGCGAGAATGGCTCACGTAGTTGGGTGTCTGCGGTGTGATCGGCGAGCTGGTGTTGCTCTGCATACTGCTGCTGACCAGGCGGGGGTGCTGAGTGCCGCTCGACCCTCGCAGCGTCGGGATCCTGGGCAGGAGCGGGCCGGTATGGCTGGCGCGACTGAGTGTCCGTTCCTCTGGAGGAGCGGGAACAGCAGCCACTGAACCGCGAGGGTGGTGTTGAGACGAGGATTTGACACCCTTGATCTCATCCTGGAATGCTCGAATTTTGTGCCAGGTCTTCAAACGCCGCCCCATGACGCCAAAATCAAACTCCTTCATGAAAATAAAGTCCTGGTTCATGTCAAGTAAGACATCGCCCGTGATCTCCTGATCCTCAAAGATGCCGCAGTGTTTGTCCTCGATACCCCATTGCCGCAACTGCTTGGCCGTTTCTGCAGGCGTCCACTGCCGGACCTGCTCTTCACGCGGCTGGTTCTCTTCTTCCTCATCGGTTTCGTGCCCATTGATATACGACATCCGGTGCTCGAAGTGGCTACTGTACTCGCTGGCCGAGTCGTTCATGTGCTTGGATTCCTGACCAGCCACACTATGGCGCGGCGTGCTCAGATCGGTGATGTGCTCGTCGATCACGCTAAGCGTCTCGTTCATGACGGGACTGTCCTGGCCATTGGCATGGTGGCCGTCCATGGTCTGTCGGATTGACTGTTGGATATCGATGCTCATAGTGGAGGTTGGTAGAGGAGAGGAACTGGAGCGGTTCTGCTGTTTCGGAGAAAGCGCTGGGGCGACAGGACCCCCTTGCAATTCT